TGGTCTTGTTAATTAGTACTTTTTTTTATACCCTTTCTCTTGTTTAACGTATTCAAAACCTTCAAAATCCTATTCAACTGGCTTTCTAGCTTCTCTTGGGCTTTTTCTATCCTCTCAAAACGATTAAAATTTTTTTATTTCATTTGTTTAACCTGAGCTATTGTGTTGTATTGGTGAGTCGGATTCTTACTTGGTGGAGCTATTCTTGAACCTTTCATACCATAATTGTGATAAAAAATGTTATGCTTTATGCATAGTATGTTGGTACATAAATGAAATGTGCCTTTTCATGGATGTAGGTAAATGATGCAAATGCTAATGTTAAATCATGAGCATGAAAATGATGCATAAAATGAAATGATAATGATGCAGGTGCTCAAAAATCAAGGAAATAAAATGGTTAGATCATAAACTGTTTCTTCTTGTGTCCTAACATTAGGTTACATCTGTCATTGGATAGGAAGGGCTCTATTTTAGGGCTGGCATTTTAAGAGTAAACTATATGCAGGGTTAAGTGATTTTAACCATTAAAGGTTCTCAAATTATTTCTTACATCATAGTCCATCACAAACTAATAAGGCAGTCTAATTCTCACCCATTACAGGCTACAAGCAAAAAAATTCAATTTGAATTGGAGTATTTCGTTAGTCATTGCGGAAGCATTAAAACCTAATAAAAATATAGGTACTTTACTCTCTCTTAGAGGGATGAAGCTCGGGTATAGATCTCATATTATGTATATGTATATCAATCACATATTTAGCAACATAGATAAATAAAATGAAAGATAAAAAAAATCCTTACAAAGAATTCAATTTTATTAGGCTTTTTGGATAACACGAATTTATTTGCTGACTTTACTCTCAATCTTTCAATAGTGGAGTCGCCAAACTGTCATAACGTCTAGATCCGAGGACCTATCGCTAGATATTGACTTAAGGAGTCATCACCAATATTTTTTATTTAGGTGCGATTGACTACCTAAGGAATCTATCCTTTCAAATAACACCTAAGCTTGACTAAGGGTCCTTAAAAGAATAGGTTTAGGTCATTAACTAAAACAAGATTCGAGAGTTTAGTTACAAGTGAGAAAGGTTATAGCACCCTCACAATACTCATAGAAAGATGGTACCAGCTCAATTTTATGCTATTTAATAAGCCTTAAAAATTTAACTAAGTAATTAATTATTAAAAATTATTCTTAATTAACTCCAATACTTTTGGTAAAAAATTTAAAAAAAATTTTCACCTCAAGAGTATACAAAAAAATTATTGTTTCTCTTGTAGAGACTCCATCATCAGATTATTTAACATTAAACAAGATTTTCAAGAAAAGAAAAAGGCAAAAGAAAAAAGGGATGATGATTCGATTTTTGATATAGATCTCTTTTGTGTTTTATAAGAAAAAAAAAACTCATGCTTTTGTACAAGAAAAATTGATACTTTCAACTTTTTCTTAAAGCATTTTAAGGTTTTTATTGTTAAGAAAAATTGATACTTTCAACTTTTCCTTAAAAATATTTTTCTTTAAATTTTATTTTTAAGAAAAATTAGTACTTCCAAATTTTTCTTCAAGAAATGTTTTTTTTGAAAACTTTATTTTCAAGAAAAATTGATACTTTCAACTTTTCCTCCAAAATATTTTTTTTCACATTTTCATTTTAAAGAGATCATTGAAAATTAAATGATGTTTAATTAAATAAATAACTTATTTTAATTTAGTTAATAAATAAATAAAAGAAAAAATAATAATCAATAAATAAATAACAAAACTAAATGAAAAAAAAAAACCTTTGGCAAGGCTCGGCTCAATAGCTAAAATGGCTCAGCTTGAGACACAGGAGGAGGTTGAAAAGTGTAGCTTGGGGTGCACGGCTTGGCTCGGCTCAGTTCAACAATAGCGTCTGGGAAATGGGTTGAAACGTGGGTCAACGTTCGGGTCGGGTCGTCCGAATGAAAACGCGAATCCTGGAAAATCACTTAACTCCAAAACAACGTCGTTTCAGGGCCGTATAAAAGGCCAAATTTCTTATTTTTGCTTCAGATATCTCCTTCCCCCTCTCTACCTTCTTCTTTTCTCTTTTTCTCTCTCTAAACCTCAAGAACACCGATTGAATTTCATTGAATTTTGAAAAATCTGATCAGAATCTGAGTTTTTCACCAAAAGTTCACCAAAAAGTTCAACGATTTCTAAAGATGTGATGCCAAAAACTGGGTAATTAGTCAAAAAATTCAACTGATGTCAAAAAGTCATCGAAAAATTCAACCGACGTCAAAAAATTCAATTGAAATATGAAATTTTCAAAAAATTTTATAGAAAAATCCCTTTTTTTAACACAAAAAACTCTCAAATTTTTTTGTTTTCTGTTTTTTTCTCTCTATTTTTTTATTTCTATCCATTTTCCTGTTTGTTCTCTTGCCTTATTTATAGGGTTTCAATCCGAGAGCCTTAACCAGATGGGATTTACATCCTTTCTGACTTTTAACTCCAAACCTTAATTCAGTTTAAACTCCTCAGCTCAATCCTTTCCAAATTCAACCATTTTTTCCCATTTTTTTAGCATTTTTATTTTTTAATTAATTTTTATATTTTTTAACAAAAATTAAATGTAAACCCTAGACAGATTGGAGTATTTACACTGATCAAATAAATACCTTCCATAATTCTATAAATATTAGTAAGATGAGTTCACTTTCCATTTTCCACGTACTTATGTGAAACGATAAACTACAAGTTAATTTTCAAAAAGACAGAAACGCATGAACAAAGCAAACCCCTTCTCCTAGGTGATATCTGAGGCAATGTTTGGGTCATTATTTTAAGGATGAAAGAAAAAAAAAGTGACCTTAACTCTGCACTTTGTGCATATAAACAAGGCCAACTATCATTTTTCTTTAGATTAGTGGAAAGATAAAATATTTGTCTAGCGTCAGTGTCATCCCCTGTACCACTCTTCAAGTGTTTGTCAAAACCATGATTTTTTTTTTCTCTTGTTGATGTTATTTTTATGTTTTCAGTATTTAAAAAAAAAATCACATTGTCTTAAAAGTGTTTTTCCCAATTTGAATGCACTTTATTTGTCTGATTCTTGTAACTTGTTAAGGGATTCAATGGTTAGGGAAAATCAAATTGTATCCATGTTTGTTATTGTTTCATTTTGGTCAATGAAAAAAAAAATTTATTAAGGAGAGAACATAACCTTTACAAAAAAAAAAAAAAAAAAGAGGTCATGACCCAAAACAAGATCTCTATGTTTTTATAAAACCTATTTAACTATTAGACTAAGAGATTGAGGACAATAAAATTTTAATATCTTTCAAAAATATTTTGTTAACTATGCAATTCGAGCATATTAAGATCTTTGTCTTAAATTAGTTTGCATAAGTTAATAATGCATCACAAACTATAAATTTTCATACAAAAAATTTTCAATTAATGATGAAATGTTTGCTAGAATTTTAATTTTTTTATCCAATGTGTGATCCAAAATTTAAATGAATTTAAAAATTATATTCAAACACATTTATCGAATTTTAATTTTTTATTTAAACTCTTTTAAAATTTGAACAAAACTTTAAATTTTGACTAAATTATCTTAAAATTTGAACAAAACTTTAAAATTTAACGAATAAAATAACCATTGAACAGATCGAATGCCCTAGTCATTAATATCAAAAATTAATTATATGAACTCATAAAAAGTAGAAGATCCAAGTCCTTTCTTTCATGAACCAAAACAAGAAGTTTCTCAAATGAAGTGCACTATAAAAAAGCAATCCTACTTTTCAATAGACCGAGAATTTTAGGGTTTAGGGGGAATGTTGGTGAGTTCCCTGTATGAAAGGACTGATAGCCACTCCCACCATTAAAGAGTGTTAGAGAGTGGGGACACTTTGCCCTCAAGGCTTTTAAGCATAAAAGGAGCTCCATTCACCATATGAAACCAGACAGCCAGTTGGCTTATCAACCAAACCCATGAAAATAGTCAAGATAATCAAGAATGAGTGAAGAAAACAAACAAAATAAAGGATTTATAAAGATATTCATTAATTAAATAATCGCTAAACCCAATGTGATGATTTTGCTAATTTTCTTACTATTCTTTTTTAAATTGACAAATTGTACTTGTTTGTTACCCCTTGGGGAAAAATCTAAAATTCCAAAACCAATAAAATCATTTCAATAAATTAGATTGGTGGCAAAAATTTGATCATTATTTGTTACTAGAATGTAATAGAAATTAATTATGAAAAACCAAATTATTAAATTTCATCCCTAAAGGAAGCAACCCAAATGACTCATCCTTAATATTTGTCTACAAAATTAGACTTTTATCTCTTTGGCAATTTTTTAAAAAAGAAAAAAGAAATTCAACCTTGCTTAATTTTTGCGGTATTATACAAAAATTTAAAGTACTAAATTTTAATTTCAGATTTATTATATACTACTCTTAATAATGATTATACAAATGGATTGAGATAAACCCTAAATTCAACCTTGCATATTCTTTATTTTTCATTCAACATTCAATTTTTTTTTTTGGATTATGTAAATTTGATAATTTATATATTTATATTATTTAAAATATTGATAACTTGTGTATTTATAATATATTTTATATAAAAATTATAAAATATAATTTATGTCGATATAAAAATATTCTTTTAAAGTTTTTTATATATAATTTTTACTAAAATTTTAATTTTTTTTTAATAAAATTTTTTTATCATATTATTATATTATATTTTAAATTACCATATCTAAAATTATCTTACCATCCCAGCTACTATCTACTAAATTAGATTTTTCATTAATTTATTAGCTATAGCTACTTGTTCAAATTAAAAGTGGAAAAAAAATATGAAAAGATTAGTAAAATTTGGTTGCATAAAACTGTTCACTGTGGAGTATTGACCTCTAAAATATGGTGCGATAATAAGTGCACCGTTACCGTCAGGTAACGGCAAGTTAAGTCGGTGCTATCTAGTGTAGTCTCTTACTAACATAACCTCTCTATAATGAGACGGTGTCTTACGTTTCTGTGTCGATTTTCTCTTCCACTTCCTCTTGCTTTTTGGTTCTTCTGTTGTTTCCCTGTTTCCTCCTTGCCCTGTTTTCTCTTCTATGCTCTGTTTCTTGTTTGATGGAAGAACAAAGGATGAAAAAGAAAGAAGAAAACGAATAAGTGTAAGCGTATAAGAGAGAGAAGACAAGAAATAGACTGAGAAAAAGAGAGAGAAAGAAAGAGTGTGAGTGAAAGAGAGAAAGGAAAAAAATGGTGGGTAAGGTTGTGCATGATGATGAGTTGGTGAAGATGAACATCATAATCGTTCATGGAGGTCCCTCTTCATCTCGATTCCTCGATGCTTATCCCAAAAGGTACTCTTTTAAGATTCCTTCATTTCTCTTCTAGAAAAATTTTCCTTTTTTTTTTGGAAGTTGGATCTTTTCTTTTCTTTTTTTTTTTAACTCTTAGATATCATTTTTATTTTTTCTTTCATAAAAAGGAAAAATAAGAATTGGGTTTTTCTTTTTTTATGGATTTGATGTTTTTGATTCAGTGTCTCCCACCTGTGTTTGGAGGATTTCGGGAAATTCTGGAGTTAGGTTTAGATATTGTCTTTCTTTAGCAGCTTTGGTTTACAATCTCTCTCTTTAGGTAGAGATTGAAGAGATTTTTTTAGTTTTTGTTTTCATTATTGTATTATTTACATTTCTTTGGGGAAAAAGTTAGTATTTTTTTTTCAAATATTCGTTTTTGTCGTTGTTATTAATAAGTTTGGTATTGAATTGATAAAATTTTTTTAATTGATGTGTGTTTTGGGAATTATTATTTGTTTTCTGATTGATAAATTCTAGGATTTTGATGGAGGGGACATCGTATGGTGATTGATAAGCTGAAATGGGAGAGTCTCTCCTTACTGCCTTCTCAATGGAGAATCATCATCCTTCCACTGTTTTGTCAATGGATTCAAGCGCTTCCTCCCATGATGAATTGGATTTGGAAATGAATAGGCAAACTGTTCTTTCTCGTCCTCCTGATATCAATTTGCCTCTCTCTGCTGAGCGGAGCCCTCCCCCGCAGCCATGGAACTGTAACCAGTGCGATATTTTGGATGTTGGGCTCAGTTCACAAGCTCATGAGACTGAGAGCTACCTCACTGTTCCCAAGCCAGGACGAAAATATGCCAAGCGGGTAGATAGTATATGGGGTGCTTGGTTTTTCTTTAGTTTTTACTTTAAACCTGCTTTAAATGACAAATCGAAGGCCAAGGTTGTTCGTGATAGCAATGGTGTTTCTTGTTTTGATAAATCAGATCTCAAGTTGGATGTTTTTATGGTTCAGCACGACATGGAGAACATGTACATGTGGGTTTTCAAGGACAGACCCGAGAATGCATTAGGTAAGATGCAGCTTAGAAGTTACATGAATGGGCATTCTCGCCAAGGGGAGCGTCCGTATCCGTTTAGTGCGGATAAGGGATTTGTCCGTTCACACAGGATGCAAAGGAAGCATTACAGAGGACTGTCAAACCCCCAGTGCGTGCATGGGATCGAGGTTGTTCCATCACCAAATCTCATGGCTCTTAATGAGGAAGAACTGAAAAAGTGGATGGAACTTACTGGAAGGGATTTAAATTTTACAATTCCACCTGAAGCTAGTGATTTTAGTTCATGGAGAAACCTTCCAAACACTGATTTTGAGCTAGAAAGGCCTCCTCCTCCAATGAAGAGCGTATCAAATTCTCACTATAAGAAGCTGCTTAATGGGTCTGGTCTCAATTTGTCTACTCAAGCATCTGGGCATGGCTATGGTGATGGGATAGACTTATCACTTGTCAGCAGCAAAAGGAGGAAAGAAAATGATGATGATTGCTATTTGCCTGTCATTCCTCCATCTGACCGAGTTCCAGACATTGAAATTCATCCCAGTGAGCCACACTGGTTAAATGACCTCAGTGGAGTAATGAAAAATGTCTATGGGCCTGTTTCTGCTGCAAAAGCTATCTATGAGGATGAAGCGGGTTACTTGATCATTATCAGCTTGCCTTTCGTTGATCTTCAGAGAGTCAAAGTCTCATGGAGGAATACTCTCACGCATGGTATCATAAAGATATCCTGTGTGAGCACATCTGGCATGCCTTTCATCAAGAGACATGATAGGACTTTCAAACTGACAGATCCTGCTTCTGAGCATTGCCCTCCTGGGGAGTTTGTTAGAGAAATCCCACTGTCAACTCGAATTCCTGAAGACGCTAACATAGAAGCATATCACGATGGGCCAGGTTCTGTGCTTGAGATTATGGTGCCGAAACTGCGGGTGGTGCCTGAAGAACACGAAATCCGTGTTTGCCTCCGCCCAAAGCTTGTAGGGAATGATCTCATGTTGACATAAATTAGCTTTTATGGAGAATTATAAAGTCTGTTGCTATGGTTGGTGCTTCATTGTTTTACTGACTTTGTACCATACAGTGTAATCTATGATATGAAACAAAATGTGCGTCTTACATTTTGTCTTTTGCAATTTTTACTCGCTAATTTCTATGGTTTTTAACCCATGATTCTGGTTATCACTTGACTGTAACTATAATTGATTTTGAAACCTGCATTTGATTATAGTCATTAACGTAAAGATACTTTATACCCTTTTGTTTGATTGATTCAAGGAACAAGTTTTAGCCACGGAACCCAAAGTAGAATACGACATTGACGAGACTTTGTCATCTGATTCCAAAACACACAATGAATCTGCAAGGAATGCTACCTAACGTGGAAAGGAACACTTGGTGGAGAGTTGGGACCAAAGAAAGCCAATAAAGTGGTGAAACCTAACTACATCCTTTTATCAATAAAGAAAAATGTAAATGATAATTTAAGTGAAAAGAGGTGTAATAATAAGCGATCGTGGGGACCAAAAGTCAAGCGAAGTGGATCCTGTATTTTGTATCCTGGGAGTATAGGTGAACTTAGTGAGAGGGTCCCCAGCGTTGGTTTTAAAACCAAGGTCAAGTTTGGCTGGCGTCTGCTTGGAATTTTAGAAAGGAAGACTTCTACTAAGTTTGCGTCCCGACATGGTGATAAGAAAGTTAGAAGATGTAATAGTCCAAACTCCAAAAGCCAATCCCATCCCATCTTTCAATTTAAATTGAGATTTTGTGGTGAGAACAGCTCATGGTTTTCTTAGTTAAGCACGGTTGAGGACCGTGGGTTGTGGAATGTGGGACAGCGGAACTCACCTCCTTTTCTTTTTTTTTTTTTTAATAATAATAATATTGAAATGGGAACCACTCTCTCTCATCTTTAAAAGTAAATTTAGTTTTATGTTAAGACTTAAGAGCAGCCACGAGGCCATTTGGGTCAAATTCTTGGCAGAAGCCATGCCGACCTAAAGTTCAAACCCATTGCAGTCCCTTTCCCACCAACCCGTTTCACTTCCACAACTATCCCACTTATTGGAGAATGAAAATGGAGAAATTATATATGCAACCAAAGGGACCACAACCGTCCCCTACTCCTATGAATCAAGTTGAAGCTGATCAGGCTCATACACTATCAATCACGTAGAAATATATTGTTGATACAATTTTATATTTGTTATAAAGCCAACTAATTAATCTCAACAAAACTTCATCTAACCGCAAATTACCAAAAGTCAATGATCTTACAAGTTACCGTGAAATCGCGCCTCGTCATTCCATGTAATTTTGCTTCAGAATATTTAACCTTATCGTGGAAAAAAAAGGATCCCCAAGAAAACAAACATCAAAACTAAAACCACCAAATAGTTGGGCAATAAAAACCTTTATTGAAGTTCAGGCGACCTGGCAATAGCACCTGTTTCCAAAACAAGAATAACAGGATGCTTAAAATTTTTAAAACTGGCTTTGGACAAAATACTCAAAGGGGTCGGAAGCCAGAAAATGATCGTTTAAATCCGATTCATTGAAAAAAAAAAAGGAAAAAAACAACACCTAAGAGATAGAAATAATTGAGAAGCATATAAAAGACATAGGTTAAATTTCTTAGTCCACTTCCTCAATCTTTGGGCCAGCACCGCTTCCACCAGCTGGGACATCCTCATCCATGCCGCCACCCATGTCACCACCAGCGCCCTGGTACATCTTTGCAATGATGGGGTTGCAGATACTCTCCAATTCCTTCATCTTGTCTTCAAATTCATCTGCCTCGGCAAGTTGGTTGCTGTCTAGCCATTGGATGGCCTGCTCGATTGCATCTTCGATCTTCTTCTTATCTGCTGGAGGAAGTTTGGCACCAATCTTCTCATCCCTCACTGTGTTCCTCATGTTGTAAGCATAGTTTTCCAATGCGTTCTTGGACTCGACCTTCTTCTTGTGCTCTTCATCCTCAGACTTGTATTTCTCTGACTCCTGAACCATCTTCTCAATTTCCTCCTTGGAAAGCCTTCCCTTGTCATTTGTAATGGTGATTTTGTTCTTTTGCCCAGTGGTTTTGTCCTCAGCAGACACGTTCAAGATACCGTTAGCATCAATGTCAAAGCACACTGTGATCTGTGGAACACCCCTAGGAGCTGGTGGTATACCAGAGAGCTCGAATTTACCAAGCAAGTTGTTATCTCTAGTCCTTGTTCTCTCACCTTCATAGACCTGGATCAACACACCAGGCTGGTTGTCGGAGTAGGTAGAGAAGACCTGTTCTTTCTTGGTGGGAATTGTGGTGTTTCTTGGAATCAAAACCGTCATGACACCACCGGCAGTTTCCAAACCAAGGGACAAGGGGGTGACATCCAAGAGCAAGAGATCCTGCACCTTCTCATTACCCTCACCACTCAAGATAGCAGCTTGGACTGCAGCACCGTAGGCAACAGCCTCATCGGGATTGATGCTCTTGCAGAGCTCCTTTCCATTGAAGAAATCCTGCAAAAGCTGCTGAACCTTCGGAATTCTAGTAGAACCACCAACAAGCACAACATCATGGACAGTGCTCTTGTCCATCTTGGCATCCCTCAAACACTTCTCAACGGGTTCCATACACTTTCTGAACAGATCCATGTTAAGTTCCTCAAATCTGGCACGGGTGATTGTTGAGTAAAAGTCAATACCCTCGTACAAGGAGTCAATCTCAATGGTGGTTTGGGCAGTGGATGACAGAGTTCTCTTTGCCCTCTCACAAGCTGTCCTCAATCTCCTAAGAGCTCTGGGGTTACCACTAATGTCCTTCTTGTTCTTTCTCTTGAACTCCTGCACAAAGTGGTTCACCATTCTGTTATCAAAATCTTCACCTCCAAGGTGAGTGTCTCCAGCAGTGGCCTTCACCTCAAAGATACCCTCTTCAATGGTAAGAAGAGAGACATCAAAAGTACCACCACCAAGATCAAAGATCAAGACATTCTTTTCGCCAACACTGGTAGCCTTCTTGTCAAGACCATAAGCAATGGCTGCAGCCGTGGGTTCATTAATAATACGCATGACATTAAGACCAGCAATGACACCAGCATCCTTTGTTGCCTGACGCTGAGAGTCATTGAAGTATGCAGGGACAGTAACCACGGCATTCTTAACAGTAGAGCCAAGGTAAGCCTCAGCAATTTCACGCATCTTCATGAGTACCATAGAAGAGATCTCCTCCGCAGCAAATTGCTTCTCCTCACCCTTGTAATTAACAATGATCATGGGTTTGTCACCAGGTCCAGCGATGACCTTGAATGGCCACAATTTAGTATCACTCTGAACAGATGCATCACTGAATCTACGTCCAATCAACCTCTTTGCATCTTTAAAGATAAAAACACATTAGTTCACCCAAAACGAGCTTTAAAATAGATAACAGTAACAATTACAATAATCTACGTTATAACTCTATGTTTAAGAATGACAGACAAAGGTCAAACAAAACTATGATTAAAATGAAAACTACATAACAACAGATCTAATAAAAAGTCAAAGTCCCATTAAACAATAGTCAACAGTATTAAATAGATTCAAAAAGACAGATTTTCAGATCTGGAGTAGAATCTAACCTCAAGTTACAGCAGTTCTTAGTAAATCTTAGCAATCTTAGCTAGTAAAGTTCAGATCTGTATCTTATTACTTAACAAACAACTAACCTTAACATAGATCTAAGCTAAATAAATCCAGATCGAATCAGAATACAAGGTCTAAACAATGCAAACGAAACGAAACTAAAGTCTTGATAAGAAAAGAAAACAGAGTCAAAGCTTACCGAAGACGGTGTTCACGGGGTTCATGGCGACCTGGTTCTTTGCTGCATCGCCGATCAAACGCTCGGTGTCGGTAAAGCCCACATAAGACGGCGTCGTTCTGTTACCTTGATCGTTGGCGATGATCTCAACACGATCATGTTGCCAAACGCCAACGCAAGAATAAGTGGTTCCGAGATCGATTCCGATCGCTGGACCTTCTCCTTTACCAGCCATAACTTTTCTTTTGTTGTGTCGACGAAAAAAAATATAGAGAGAACAAAGAATAAAAAGAAAAACGAGTTAACAGGAGAAACAGCTAGGGTTTCAAGTGGCCGAACAAGCGGAAATGAGTTGGCTTATAAAGAGGTTTTTGAAGTTTGGTTTCGAGAATGTTCCAATCCGTGGACTCTATGAGCCGTCCGATCATGAAATTATCCAGTAAAATCCTGCCACGTCATTAAAGTAATTATGTACAGTATTTTATGGGATCTAGACCGTCCGTTCAGATCGAACGCTCAGTGGCTGAAAAGAATGCATGAAGGAATGGGGCATTTGGTTACGGTTGTTCCCATTGGACCGTCACCGTCCAGGAAGATTCCGTGGAGAAAAAGAAAACATAAAATCAAAGACAAAGACTTGGATTTTTAGCCTGCTTTTACTTTTGTGCAACACGCAAGAGAAAAACAAGTCGAACAAGCCACATATTCCATGCCTTCTGATGCAGAAACAGCTCCAGAGACGACGTGAGAATCCATGAAGCCATTTCAACAATCCATGAAGATCTGTCACCCTTCTTCTTGTACTGGATATAACTCCTTCAAGATGGTCCTGAGTGCATCGTAAAGAATGGAAGAATCAAATCAGCCAAAGAAGCAAGGAAAAAAGTAGAGTGGAACAAATCTGATGCAATCTGCTGAGTTTCAGCCAGCAGCTAGGCACTGAAATTTTGGTTTTTGCAATCAAGTGCTCACCTTCTCTAGGTCTAACCGTTACAATAACTTTTTGTAACAGGGCCACAAGCAACATTCACAATGGCTAATGCCTGAGTACTGGGGGGCATCAGTATATGAAATAGAATACTATGTTGCTTTATTTTTCAAATGCTTACGGATTTAAGGTTCTTACTGTACTTCCTTGAATCATTTTCATGAGGCATGGTCGCATGTCTGGCCAAAACCGGTGGCGATGGGATTGCAGCAGTTATAGGTGGCATTACTGATCTTGGGAAGGAAAAATTATGGCACTCCAAGCGAATTTGCAATTACTAGAACCACAGAGGGTACAATTGGGTTAATATGTTTCATCACAGTGGAGATTCTCTAGCATCCAACAAGATCTGCCACCCATCCTAGCAAAATTAGAACTTTCAGGGACCTTAGAAGCGCTTCAAGATTGCTTTCAAGTAATAGATTCATGTCGGTGAATTGGATAATTTCATTGCAGAGGCTGAGTTGGTGCCTAATTTATGGTTCCTGCCTTTCATTGTGGTTGCTACAATAAGCTTCTAAGCTCTATTTACAAAATGGCAGATTTATTACCCCTGACGTTCCATCAAATTGAATCTCTCACAAGCATCCCAAAGGCTGGGAATTACTTGGGAGGAGATCCTGGAACAGATAAACAATGATCTCGAACAGACAAAACTGGCTCTTTTCTGAAATGCCTGGATGAGGTGTTACTGATCAAGTCCCTAGCAGAGCTTGAAAAAGAGCTGCAAATGAAAAACATATCCCATGACCACGAGTTGGAAAAATCACCAAATGCAGAAGTTTCTACAATGTTTGGCGCCTAAAGAAAACAACATTGCGGAGACTAGAAAGTCTTTTCTTCAACATACGATGAGAGTTGCCAATAAAACCGAGGGTAATTAAGTTGAAGAGAAGCTTAAGAGCCAAATGGTTCTCTGCCAAAGCAGCCTAGGGTTCAGCATTCATAATTTAAAGATAGAAGCCATAGAAATAAGTAGAGAAATAGCAAACCTACTGAAATGGGAGAATCCAGCAAGGCATGTAAATTTCCATGAACTGCTATCTAAGCTCAATGCCACATGAAAAATATATAGCCCGCAACACTAGTCCAACACTTGCTAGCTACACAAAGGGAGAGGCTTTGCAGCCAACTAGCTACCCACAACCTCATGTACACAAAGAATACCTGATCTCAATTGCTATATCAATAATTCAGAACCAATTCGTTCTTCTTTTTCCTCTGGAAGTAGATAAAGAGCCAACAAAATTGAATATGTGAACTAGGCTTCTCAAAATCTATGTGAGTACAGGAGGATTCAGTGCAATTTACAGAATTCTTCAGGAATCTAAGACTGTACTTGAAACAGCATGGACCACATGATCGACCACCCTCCTTTACAATGCCACCTCCCACTTTCAGCTCCAAGACATTAGCTATGTCCAGCAGAATGCTGCCTCAAGTGCTGAAGCTGAACTATATCTTTAAAGAAGTTGCTTGGGGAACTCAGTGTCCATCAATTGCTGCTAAAGCAATAGAGAACTTGTCCATGTAAAGCAAAAACAATATAAACATATATAAAAAAACCTCAAGCAAAACATAAACAATAAGATGACATTTATAGCAATAATTTGTCGAAGGTTTCCATTTCTGAAACAAATCAGTCCACAAAAACAATCATCTAAATGTCCATTGGAGACACTTTAAAAAATTTTGTTCAAAACAACCCTCAATTGCCTTCATATTTTGGGTCAGCCATCACGTAATGATACGCTACAACCAGAACGAAAATGAAGATTCCAAGGAAAGACGCAAAGAAGCCAAGGTCCTGATCGTCAATCATCTGAAACATTACAAGCAAAAATAACAGAAAAAATCAGTTTCAAAACATAATTTTCTTCTTATTTCAAAGGCCATATCATGCTCCCAAATTGAAGTCCATGAATGCCATTTGAGGCAATGTGAACTCTAATTAACACTGTACTCTTCTCTGTATTCGTATTCCTTAACCTAATGTTGAATTCATTTAAAAAGCAGCCATACAGACATATCAGAACACAGCAGACAGTCTATCAGAACATCAAGCCCTCATTTTTTCAATCAACAAAACTAATCGAACAAGAAATTACTATCAATGATTGGTTTAAAATCCAAATGGTGAGTTCTTTAACTCCTACACAATCGAATTCAACACATTGTCATAATATAGTGAGGCCATCGCATTCATTATTCAGATCAAAGCTTGAAATAAGAAACTCAAAAAGTAAACAACGAACTAAAATCTGTTAAGAAGCGATTATGGATCAGACATAGACAATTGGGGGAAAAAGGATTGAATCTTTCTTGAACTACAGGATTGTGGAACCGAAAATCCAAACGTAACTAAAAAATTGAAAAGATCTAAAATTGGGAAATGGAAATCGTATTGTAATTCTGAGAAAATAGCTGAAAAAAAGACATTTAATGCTAAAATTTAAAACTCTTACGATGACAGCTTGTGCGTAATGATACTAATGAAGAAGACGATCCCGAAGAATTCCGAATTGGTCAGAAGTACTCAGATCTCAGGAGCCAGAAAAACTAGTCACAGCGTTTGACCAAGACTGTTCGAAAGTTCGTTCCTAAACGAGGTCGTTTGGAAAGTTGTTCTGTAGTAATAATTAAAATTGAATATGGAAAAACAAAGGAAAAAGCATTTTGTTGTGGCTGCTGGGATTCGAGCCCAGGTCTCCACGGCCACAACGTGGAATTCTTACCACTAAACTACAGCCACAGGTTTTGTAAGGAGTTTTTATCATTTCATATTCTTAGATCTAAATAGTTCTATATGCAAAGATAAATAAATTCTTACTCGACTAGACCTAACTCAAATATATACATATAATATCTTATTTATTTTTTTAATTTTTTATATCCAAAATTGATCCGATCTGATATTGTATAAAATTATATCTGATCTGACCCAATTCAATCTAAAATTAATAAAATATTATTATATATATTATTTATTTATTTATATATATATCAGGTCAAATTTACTTAAAATTCAATCCTGACCCAACTTCGATTTTTTTTTTCTATCACCCGATCCGATATTCAATTTAAAAAAAAATTTGAATTTAAAAATCGAATCAGATCAAAATTCTTCGGATACAAGTCAAATTGTCTTCCTTATCCATATGTCAATATTCAAATAGGGGATAAGATTAAATCTCTCTTTGTTTTATAATTTTGATTCAATATATTCCCATATACCAAAAAATAAGCAAATATTTTGTTAATTTTCTATGCATATATCAGTATTATGCATTAAATTAAAAACTTAATTTAATTAATTAAAAAATAACATCCAACATATTTAAATTTCATTTTTTATTTTTAATTTATGATCATCTTTATAAAAAATAATATGCGATGATTGATTCTTATTACGTGATGGATAAAATAGTGAAAATTGTGTTTTTATGCATATTCTAAATCCTCAAATATGCCTTATGAAATATGGTGATGGAGTGAAAAATAAATGATACAAATTAAACTAGGTAAGTAACAAAAAATTAAGAAGATTATCATGGTTAAAGGTATATGATCCAAATTGTATAGAGTTTTGAGTAGTGATTACATGCTTCCACATCTCATTTATAGCTTGAGATTCAATCCATTTTAAAAGCTCAATTGTCAATGTTTTAGTTACTTCTTTTCCTATCTTTACTTCGCAAACTATTTATTGTATTTTTTAAATTGTTACAATAATAATAAAGTTATAATTATCAAATAATTAATTAATAAATTATAATATAATTAAATAATTATTTTTACACGTAATTAAATTTCAATTTAAAAACTCAAAATTCTAAGCTTTCATTTTTGCTATATTTGATAATTTAAAATACGATATGATACAATACTAAGACATAAAAGTGATATAACTTAAAATTATAATAATAATTATTTATGAATTTAACGAAATAAAAATTATATTTTATATTTTTGTATTGATACAAATTATAACACATAATTTTTATATAAAATATGATACGAATATATAAATTTTAATATTTTATATGATACAAATACACGAATTATTATATCTACTATTATTACCATTAAGCTAAAATATCATTAAAACCAATTATTTTAATTTTTTTTCTCTTGTTGGATAAGGTATCTTAACTTTTCTTTCAGGCTAAGTTCATTTTGACCATTTATTTTTTGGTTTTAATTTGAAAGACAAGATCTCTTCGCATGTCAAAACTATATGTTTCTCATGCTCAATTGCTCTACAAATATGGACATAGTTAGGTAGATAACAAAATTCAAAAAAATCAATTCAAATTATAATGTTTTGATTCGATTTTGATTTGAGTTTTATTATACAAAGATTTATTTGATTTGATTTTTTATTTTTAATGTGAAAATGTGAAGTAAAAATAATGTTAAAAAATTAAAATTTTCAAAATTTAAAAGATGATAATTTAAAGTAATTTAAATAAATGAAATTTAATTTGAATTGATTCAAATTTTATATTTATTCGGTTCAAGTTAAAAAATCAAAATATTATTCATTAACTGAAAATTTTTATTCAAAATCGTATTAAATGGAATCATTATTAATCTTATTTATAATATAGAATGACTCGTGTTTTCTAATTAATTTATTTCTACTTAATAAAATTTAACCATTGATCACTATATACTATTCGGTATTTTCAAAGGCGAACATAAAAAACGAAATGAGATATTAATATTGTGTTCGAAGTTTTATCATGAACCTCTCTATCTTTAACAAAATATTTAATAAATTGATATAAATAACATATATAATATGATAATATTTTAATTTAAAAATTTGAACCGTATAAAATAATAGTGGCTCAATCACTAAGGGTAATAATGGTTTAAATTAAATTAAATTTGATTTAATTTTTTTTCATAATATATAATTTTAAAAAATTTTAAAAATTAATATGAATTTGAAATTGATTTTTTCTTCAAATCAATCCGAATATTATTGGTTCGGTTTAATTTATTAAATTTTAAAATTTTATATATTATTTTAATAAAAATTTTAATATATTTAGATAAATTTATATATAAAATAATTATGCTTATTTTATAAAAATTTTAAAAATATATAATTTGATTCAAAATTTTTAAATTATTTACATTTTTATTTAAAATTTAATATAAAATTAATATACATATTTTATATCTAAATTCAATTTATATTAAATAAAAAATTTAATTCAAATCAAATGGAATATTTCCACTAGAATTTTAATTTTTTTGAAGCTTTTTTTTAACTCTACTGATCGCTGCCGGGGATAATGATATGCTCCTGCCGTTTACACCAAAGCCATTTCCCTTTCCTACGTCACATTCTCTTTTCCTTGCATCAAAAAGAATTTCCGACAAGACATCAGGACCGTCCATCAGCATACCTAACATCATCATCAGATCCAACACCGGTACTCCGAGATACACTGGATCAAACCCAAAGCAACTCAACTCAACTCAACTCCCTCTGTCTCCTGGTACGTTCGAATCTCTGAACCAATCGTCGGATGCTGGGTCTAGACCCGAGGACCCGGTTTCAACTCTGTTTCAGATGTTCCCTGCTTTGGATCCTGAGGTTCATATCTGTTTAAGTGTTTTTCTTTTTCGTTTCTTTTATTCTTTTTTCTAATCTTTTTCTTATTGTACTAAAAACTCAATGCTACTGTTAGTACTTGTCTGATATACTATGTTTTGTTTGGCTTTGTTTTCATATACTTATGGAATTTTGATTATTCGGTAGAAATGGCTTTAAACTCATTGTTAATGCTTGAACTTGGATTTTGTTTCTTACAAGGAGTTTGCTTTGTTGGCGCTTGGCATGATATCTCCTTTACTTAAAACCTTAATCATGTGCTAATCTTGTTTTATGATTCTTTGTTTAGTTAATGACATTCAGTCTCAGAAATCACAACAATAAGATTGAAGATCCTAGGGAGAGTTGGACTGCACTTTCCTCCGATCTTGAAGAAAGAAATAAACCACATAGCTTTGATTCTGAGAGAATTGGAAATTGTTCTGATCTTCCTATGGAGGGTACTTCTACATGTAAGTTCTTTGTTCTTGTTTTGTTGGTTTCGGTTTATTAATTACTTTACATCGAGTTTGTATGTCGTGTTTCCTTTGAACTTATGGTGGATTTGGTGCTTTCTTTATAAACTAGGTAGTCAAATCTCAGAGCACAACATTGAAGATGTAAATAATATCAAACAGAAGTTTGGTAATGGAACTGCGATTGATAGTCCCAAGTGGGTAGATTTGTTTGTGCAGGAGATGATGAGTGCAAAAAATATTGACGATGTAAGGGGGCGTGCTGCTAGGATTTTAGAAGCCTTTGAGGGAAGTATAACTAATAATAAAAGGGCTGCTGAAGAGGTAATCTAAAACTTTTAAGTTTTCATCGAGCTTTCTTCCAAGATGAGCACCAACTTTTTTGTAGCCTCACTTCCATGATTCACATGCCGATCGGTTTCTGTGGAGCATGATCATGAAGCAGATTGAGTATACTTCCTTAAAGGAAAATTTGCAGAGCTTGTTGGATAACAATCAAATTTTGAGGAGAGCTGTTGCGAGTCAGCATGAACGCAACTTAGAGCAAGAGGGAAAGGAGAGAGAAGCATAACACTTGCAGCTCATGCTCGGCCGGTACCTAGAACAAATTCGAACTTTAGAGGTATTCACATTTTTACATTCTCAATTTAGCAACTGTTTCTGCCCATACATGGTCCATATCTTTTTTGTGGTTTTTGTAGATTTGGCTAGACTGCTAGAGTGACAATTTTATGGTATTTGTTATGATGTTCGATTCATCCCGCCGTTTTGCTACACAAGTCACCATTAGCTCAATTCTTATCAAAGTCTTGTTCCTCTCTATATTTCGAACCTTCTCTGCCCATGGTTTTAGCTGTAAGCTTTTTATTTTTTGATGCAGATGAACAACTACACATTAAGGCTCCATCTTCAGCGGGCAGAAGAAAGTAGTTCTATTCAGGGGCAATTTCCTCCTGACATATACTTAAGGCCTTTGTTGTGCTATTGTCCCATTAATTTGGTGTTCTCTAAATAGCTAACTTTCTACTATTTAATGGCTTATTTCAATCAACAAGCAACATGAAAATTTATACACAGTTGTACTAATGTGTGTAGTTTGTATAATTCAAGCCAAATATCAGTTTATGCACCACTGCCGGTTTGAGTTACTTGCTAGTCTTGAAACGAAAGGAGTGACTTAGCTGTGCTCGATCATGTTTCCTTTAAACAAATGAGTTGTGTAGTGTCATGCGTTGATTGTCCAAGACAATTCATTTGGCAATGGCAATGGCTGAAGTTAGTTTGGTGATTGTTGGTGCCTGCTCTGATGTGAGGGTCCAAATCTTGAAATCACAAAAAAAGAAGAGATCGATTAAAAGTAAAGGGAAAGAGTGTTTTTTGTGTTTGTATTACAACGCCAGAAATCGATATAAGAAAAGTCAGAATGAAAAAAAAAAAAATACAAGTAGAATGAGAATAAAATTATAGTATCTAGTATTAGTTGAAGAGTTTAGGGAATAGAATGATGACGTAACTGAATTAACGTAAGGTTAAATATGTCATATTAATTCAAAAATCTAAAATGTTAAATGACTTTTGTTGACAATTTTAACGGTTCATTGGCTTATTTTCGGTTCATTTTTACTTTGCTTGTCGGAGGTGCTTGTTCAGCAACACGAGATGCGGCAGAAGCAAAGGCAGTGGCAGTGTGGACTGGTCAAATAATGTCGAATTTGTTGAAAAAAAAAAGGCCCCAAAATTCCAATTATAGCCATTTCCTCCTCCCTAAAAGGCCCCGATCAAAAGGATTGGTGCTTCGATGTCCAAAAGAGAAATAATTTGAAAAAATCATAAAACCCTCGAAAGGTATTAAAGGGGAAATTGGCTGCAAGAACAAAACGGCATCGTTCAATAGACAATGGGTAATGGCGATTCCCTTCTTACAGCGCAGTAAAAGTCGGAAACTAGGCGGGAATCTCCAAAACCAGAAGTTTATAATTACTTCAGTCTTCAATCAGATAAGCGTTAGTCCTTTTTTTTTTTTTTTTTTAAATTCATATTGGCCCCTGGCTCTAGTGCCCATGGCTCCCAAAACTCGCAGCAGAAAAGACAACAAATGCACCCAAAACGACAACAATGACGGCCATTCATCATACTTTCAAAAAACAGTAAACTTTTATCTTTTTTTGGTTCCCTGAAACCAAAACTCTATCTCAATGGCATGCCTTTTTTTTTTTTTAGGTTTGTTTGCACGATTGGTGGTTGGTTAAAGCCGACAAAGATTTTGAAGGGAAGAGATTAGCTATTGCAGGGTCCACATCAAGAGAGTAAGCAAGCTTCCCTTTGTGCTTCGGGGTTTTCTTTTTTTTTTTTCTGAATTTATTTTTGTTTTATCTTTGAATTTGGGTGAAACAGGTTTAAAGCGGTTCGGTTGTTTACCTCTGCACCGATTGTAAAACGATACGATGTTTTTACTCTTGAGACAGCTGATAGAATTTGTGTCTGTATCAAAGGTTTCATTAACAGACAACGTACCCATGAAAATGGGTTTTCTTCTGAGGTATCAAGGATTTTCTTTTCTTTCTCTGTTTCAATAAAATTGAGAGAATTTGGAATCTTTAATGTTATTTTTCATAGTCTTTGATGAAAAAAAATGATGTTATTTGCTAGTAATTGCTATTGCCACAAGATTAATTTCACAGTAATTTCACAGGTCTTTACTCACTTCTACTTTGGCTTTCCTCCTTACTGGGAAGAATATGCTAAGAAGTGTTTGGGGGAAAATTTAACCTCTGACATTGAATTAGAAGTTGTTCCCAACTCTAGCGAGTCAGCGAGCGATCCAGGTTTTCATACATGCATTTTTTATCTGGTTACATCATATGACTTCCTTTTTGCTTACCCAACATTTTCAACAGAATTTCATTAACATTTGCATATGTCTCTTTGTATTCTGTCTGTTGACATGATAGATCCTAGCTTAATTTCGACTCCAAGTAAGCATAAGGAGGTTTTTAGTCAAGATAAGCGTGTTCAAATGAGCTGTGTTGAGAATGCATCAAGGGGTTCGGATGTGCTCAACCAAGCTGCTAACTTGTCCAGTATGGTTGAAGAGAGATCAAACCTTGACATTGGAGTTGAGATGGATTATTCGGAGCTGGCTACTGCTGATGTTCGTGTTTTGAATGCCTCCAACACACACAACCATGCAGCTAACATGCCAAGATCTATTGAGAAGAGAATAACTCATGCTCCGGCAAACATAGAAACCAAAATAGTAAATGTCAACCCATATACTTCTGGAAATAGAACAACCAAAGGTCGGGTTCAGATTACAAACAGCAGTCAGAAAAAGAATGTTGAGGTTGGTTGTTCTACAATGCAAAAGGACAGAGCTTCGACAAGGAAGGTTCAAGATGAACAACAACTGAATAGCAGCATACCACGCAGCACACAAAGAGGCTCACCCAGGAAGGAGACTCAGAGAAAACTTGATTTTGAAAAAGTTGTAAGCCTTCTTCTGCTCTAGTTCTAATTTAAATGTTCCCTTTGACTTACAGACAGTAATTTCATATTTCATACTTGCCTGGCTGTACTTAAGATGTAATTGTTTCACTCTTTTAATTGGATATGGCATATGAAAATCAGTAAATGACTTATAAAAAACAGTCTGAGACATACTGCTTGCTTGATATTACGTGTTGGTGTGAAATTTGCTCTCTGGATAAATGATTTTTTCCCCAATTTTACTTTGTTATTCTGTTGTTATTTACGTATATTTTCTCTAGTTTATGCGTGTATGAGTGTCTGCAGTACTATTTCTACTTAAGTCTTTTTCCATCCTTAAATCTTTTACTGTTTATGTTTCCACTTAGGCAAGCTCTGTATCCCCGGAAAGAAAACAGAAGCAATCTGTTATCTCTCCCAAGTCCCTGAATCTCAAATATTCAAGAGCAGGTGAGTTTACAATCTTTTTTTAAGAAACTATCTTCTCCATTGGTCCAAAACAGTCTTGTGTTGCTTTTCTACCACCCTTTATTTTTGTGTACAAGTTATCTTTCTGCATAGCTAAGTAATGGTGCTGTTCCTTTGTATTTGGTAGTAAAATATCCCTTCGAATTTAGATTTATGTGTTATCACTTCTCAACTAAAATACTTTTCAGCTAAAGAATCGATTTTCAGTGAATTTTGCTTCATTTTTAAAATGCAATTGATCAAATCTATTTTAATCAAATTTAAGAGCTAAGCAAATGACACCTGTAACAAATTTTCCTTTCTGCTTCTCGGTGGAATTATTATTTTTTAATATAATTTACCGGATACATTATTCTTAAAGTGTAAGGTTCCTCTGATGGGGAAAATGTAACTGAAATTATTATAGGGGGTTTGAATATCCTTGCATAAATTAATTATCGTTTTCGTTAGATATGTGCTCAATCAACTGTTTAACTTATTTCTATATGTTGCAGGCAGAGTCCTTTTACCTCCATTGGAATTTTGGCGCAACCAAATTCCAGTTTATGATCAGGTTTGTTGTTTCGTTTTGGCTTACATGTTGCTTTCCCCGTCTAGAATTTTAGTTCCCCACACCCAGTTTGAAAAATTGCTCTCTCCTTTGCACACCAGTCTTTCTCTTTGCTTATATTTCAAGTAAGACTAACTTTTGTGTCTCTACCTCAAATCAATTAGAATCGTACAATCACAGGAATTAAGGAAGAGGTGAATGCCGTGAAACCATCAGGTTTGTCTCTTTTAAAACATGATTAATTTCCGTTGGCTTCTGGAAGAAAATAACTTATCTTTGCAAGTTTTTTCAAGTTTGGTTGCCTATATCCAATCCCTATTACCTACCATTCGGAAACGACAGCATTGATCAATGCAGGTCATACGTTCATTTTGTCCTACATGTTCCATCCTTCCATTTGCAGTTAGCAGTGCTGAGCTTTCTCTAACATTTAGCTCGGAAAATGGTTTTTCAATGAAGAATACGTGTTTCTTGTCATTCATAGCAGTACACTTACAGTATATTGCATCTTATTTGGTACATTCAGGTAGATATACAAAGTTATTTGAATGAATATGCATGCTGCTGATCGTTCTGGTTTCTACTTTGTCATTAGGGAGTAGATCGCAGCCTCAGAAAAGGCGAAAGCGTAAGTCATGAGTTTCATAAAGAGATTTGTCCTTTACAGTCGGAGTACAAAGCTTAAGAAGGTAGGCAATCTGCCATGGTTATCTGCTGGAGCATTCAGAAAAAGCTCTGCATATCTCTCATTTCTTGTTAAGCTGTTCTATGGTAGCCACCGTGTCATATTCTCTGGTTTCAGAAATGGGATCATCAAGCAAACCGGCTAGATATCTCTTGTTTCTTCTATGATGTTTTCTCACCAAGCTATTACATGTATCTAACTGTTAAATTTTTATCTTGTTCTTATGCTGTCTCTCCAATTCGACCAGTGATTGTATATGAACCACCCCCCCTGAGTTTAATACGAAGCATTGGAACAAAATTCTTGTTTGGTCCCTTCACTACAGCGTACAGGTGTCTTGTTTTGTCCAACTTAAGCAAATTGAATCTTTTCATAAATTTAGGCATAGTAAAGTATATATTTTCTCATAAACTGTTAAAATTGCAAAGCTGAACTAAATTGGCTGTGAACTGTGACACGACAATCCAAATTAAAAATATATATTTAATTATTTATTTAATAGAAGAAATTAATCAAATCAATTGAATTAATTTTAGTTATTGAATTTTTAAAATTAAAAAAATTAATTTGATTAATAAAAATAAAATAATTTAATTTAATTTTGAATAATTTGATTCAAAATTAATTGCATTGATTGAATGAATATTTCGAAATTTATTTATTTTTGTATACTTTAAAAAGTATATATTTATTACAAAATATAAAAAACATGGTTAGAAAAAGCAAAAAAATGAAAAATCTGGGCGGGAATTTGGATATTATGGAAACAATCCACGTAAGAGATCCGAGCACACCCCAGTTCACCAATTAAGTCTCTAGGGAAATCAAGAGCCGTAGATGAGAACTTAATCGACAGTACTGAACTACACAAATACACCTGACACGGATCGCTGTATTGACCGTTGGATAATATCTTAATCTAACGGCGACCTTCCCCTTGCATCCGCTTCAATTTCCATATCCAACCAATAACATCAAAATCCACGGATCGCTAATTCATACCGTCGAAAATCTTCCAATCCAACGGTAAATATTCTCCTCTCCCATTGGTAACCCCAAAAAACACTCCAAGCACCTGCCTATTTAAATCCCATCCACGTCGCACCGCTTACCAACAGCCAAAGCTCGAGAGAGAAAGAAAAGAATCCGTTTCGGACTTCGCGTTCAAATTTTCGCTCAAGTAACTAAAAATGTCGGGCCGTGGAAAGGGAGGCAAGGGATTGGGAAAGGGAGGAGCCAAGAGGCATAGGAAGGTGCTCCGGGATAACATTCAGGGCATCACTAAGCCGGCGATTCGAAGGTTGGCTCGTAGAGGTGGCGTGAAGAGAATCAGTGGCTTGATCTACGAGGAAACACGTGGTGTCCTCAAGATCTTTCTGGAAAATGTGATCCGTGACGCCGTTACCTATACGGAACACGCCAGGCGCAAGACTGTTACCGCCATGGATGTTGTCTACGCTCTCAAGAGGCAGGGTAGGACTCTTTACGGTTTCGGTGGTTAAGTCGATTTGAGGGGTCGATTGGTTGAGTTTGTAAATCTTTTTCACAACAGTTTGTTGTGTAGCTTGATGGTTTAGGTTTTGTTTTCTTAGCTTCCTTTGTTAGAATGTGTCATGATTTCAATCTGCAATGAAAGTTGTTTCTGAGTTTCATATCAAAATCCAATAGAGTTCTTAATATTAGCTTTCAAATATTCGATTTGCACATTTAACTTTCTAGGGTTCCTTCTCAATTAGATTACTCGTTTGTTGTTTTGGTTTTTATTGCTGTTGTGCCGTCGGATTCTGGCTTTGGATAATCGATCAAGAAAACCGGCATTCATGAAGAGCAGTTAAGACCTTTGAAGAAATGAACTCTAAACCCAGTCGGTACGTTTTTGTTGATCTTTTTTCTAGGAATAGTTAATGGGTCAATCGGGTTTCGAGCCGACATAATGGACCTGGTCTTGCTTTACAATTCGGTGGTTTTGATTCAAAAAGATTGGCTAACACTTCTCACAGCCGTAAATTCAGAGGGCTATAGCAACAAGGCATCACAGCTGATGGTTCAATGCCTAGACAAGACAAATCACCTCTTACTTTTGGCCATTGCGATCTTGTCTACACAATACTTCTTTTGATGACCTCGTTGTCGGCAGAGTCTAATCAATCACGTTCTAGTTAATTTTGAGTTCAAATTTGAAATTCAAAGGATGACTGACGACCTCGTTGTCGGCAGAGTCTAATCAATCACGTTCTCGTTTAAGTTTGAGTTTAAATTTGAAATTCAAAAAATGATTGAGTTTATTCGAATTTTATCGAACTTAAGTTTAATTTATAATAAAAATTAAATTATTTAAATTTATTCGAATAATATATAAAAATATATTTAATTTTTATATTTTATAAAAAAATTAATTATTTATATTTGAGTTTAAATTTAAAATTGATATATTTTATTAATTAAAATTATAAAAATATATTAAAATATAATGTTATGATTAATCTCGAAAATTATTTAAATAAAATATAAAAATATTTAAATTTAATTCAATCGATAAATCTAATTATTTAAATTCGATTCAATAATAATAAAATTAAATTTATATAATTTATGAATATTAATATATAATTTACATGTGAATTTATTACTACATGTCAAGATGCACGGTGGGGATAAATCAATTTAACCACGATGAATATTTTGATAAAAATTTTATTTGGATAGAAATAAAATTAAGTGTGATGATATTGAAAATGAAAATAAATTTTATTATAATTATGATTTTTAAAAAAATTATTATAATTACGATCGAAAAAAAATTATATTAATTAAATTTTATTTAAATTAATATTTAAATTTAATTAAAAATACGATGAACTTAATCATATCTCATCGAAAAAGCAGTGGAATCGAAACGGCTACAAAGACAACGGCTTCAACGAATGGTGACTTATCACAGCTAATACCTCCTTGTGATGCAGATCACGGGCATACCAGGCTAAGGACTATGGAACAAACATCTTACTGATTCGAGCTTAATGCTTGACGCTTATCTATTAGCTTAACGAAAAGCCAATCTACTTTTGAAGCAATTGGCTTAAATATCTGAAATTGCTGACCTTATGAACTATGCAATCGCTGTCAAAGTCATTTTTAACTTAGGCAGCTGAACAATAATGTGTCGTGGTGTAGTTGGTAATCTAGTCACTCTCACACACTAAAGGTCTCCGGTTCCGTCCGGGCAACGACATTTTGTATTTTCGGCTATCTTCGAGTGGGCCTTCTTTGGGTCACGATATAAGTGGGCCTCCGTTAGGCTCGTACATTTTCAGATGTGGCCATCATCCATTGGAATAACCAAACCTCTTCATGAACTGGCTGGCAATTCCCATTTCGGCCTTAAATTCTACAAATGTGGGAATGAGGTCCAATTCATAGCAACCTGGCTCAAAGGAAAATACTATAAAGTTTTATTTGTACGGATGATAAAATTAATTATTGTAAAATTAAAAATAATAATAATAATTATTGTAATTATAATTGAGAAAAAAATATTTTGTTTTGATTAAAAAAATTTTTAATAAAATTTTTTTATTAAAATTAATATTTAAATTTAATTAATAATACATTAAATTCAATTACATCGTGCTGGTGGAATCCAAATGAGCACTAACTCAATTTACTTTTTTTTGGCTTCCAAAGTACGTGACACGTAGACTCCATATTAGTTTTACAAGCTAGCGACAAGCAAGAACACTGCACCCTCAAAGTTATAAATTCCTGGTATACTGTTCATGTTCCATTGATTATTCCAGTGGATCGTCCCATTACTACTTCGTTGCCGTCCAGAAACACGCACGCACAATACTGACATATACAAATAATAAAAAATAAATATAAATATATATCTTTATTTCGTTTTAACTTAAAATAATTTATTTTAAATCAAATATAGTAACAAATAAATATTTATAATTATACGAATTTTAAACCGAAAAAAATTATCAAAAATTTTTTACATAAAATTTAATTCAAAATATAATTATATTTTTTGAATAATTTACTCATTTAATTATTTTTTTGATATCTAATTATATAAAATTATTTAATTAAAATTAAAATATATTATTTATAAAGATAAATTTTTTATGTAAAATACAAGATAAACTCTCTAACTCTCTAACTCTTATAATTTTACTAACTTTTACTAACTTTCAATGTGATTAGGAAATTCAAGGCTAACCCTTCGATGAACAAAATAGACCCAATTTAGCAGAAGTTTATCAGAAAAGAAAAAAAAAGGAGAAGGAATGCCCTTTAACATTACCTCCATTAAAACCTCATCAAATGGAGCTTGGCAAGGTAATAATCCTATCAGTTTTGCCTTCCCATTTTTAATAGTTCAAACCACTGCAATCCTTATTCTGAGCCGCTTCCTTGCTTTCCTGCTCAAACCCCTTCGCCAACCCAGAGTCATTGCTGAAACGGTTGTACATATCTGATGAGCTCTTCAATTCCATCTCTTTGATCAACTCACTTACGTATATACGTTTATTTGTATTGAAATATTTGATGACGATGATGATCATCATTAATGAAATTCTATGATTTCAGGGGCGGAATTCTTCTTGGACCGTCAGCTCTTGGTCGAAACGAAGACCATTTACATCGGATATTGAGTATGCCGGTGCGCGAAACCGTGGCTAGCATTGGTCTTGTTTTCTTCCTTTTCCCTGTAGGTCTCGAACTCGATTTAACCTCAATTCGTCGATGAGGAAGGAGAGCCTTTGGCATAGCATTTTCCGGGATATCTCTCCCATTCATCTGTGGCATAGTCGTTTCCTTTGTCCTTAGAAAAGCCGTTGAAGGAGCTGACAAAGTCGGGTATTGCCAGTTCCCAGTCTTCATGGTAGTAGCACTCTCCATCACTGCTTTCCCTGTTCTCGCCCAAATTTTAGCAGAGCTCAAATCGTTAACAACACAAGTGGGAGAAATCGCCATGGCCACAGCTACATTCAACGACATTGCTGCATGGTTTTTATTAGCCCTAGTCGTTGCTCTTGCTGGAAATGGCTGTGGTGAACACAAAAGCCCCTTAATATCCATCTGGGTCCTTCTCTCAGGTGTTGCTTTTGTTGTTTTTATGTTGCCAGTGATCCGACCCACCATGATATGGGTCGCTTGCCGGTGCTCCCCTGAGCGAGAGGTCGTCGACGAGGCCTATATTTGTTTAACCTTAGCTGGTGCAATGGTATCCGGGTTCATGATTGACCTGATTGGAATTCATGCAATCTTTGGTGCCTTCATTTTTGGGCTAATGATTCCTAAAGGAGAATTTACAACCCCAACCGTCATGGCCATCTACAAACAGACCCGAAGTTCCTCCGCCCTGGCTGACCGGAAATTACGTGACTTGACCAACACTGACGAGTTGAAAGGTGAGCTTAGGGTCTTGGCTTTCTTCCATGGCCTTAACCACACACCCTCAATCATTTTTCATTAGCCTTATTGAGTCAGCTAGAAGTAGAGTTGGCGTCGGAGCGGAGTGGGTCGGAATTTTGCTTTCTTTGCCTCCGACCCGATCCCTTAATACTTTTACCCGATACCCGACTCATCCCCGCTCGGAGGTTTTAACGGTAAAACCCGATCCCAACCCGTTAAAAAATTATTTACCCGAATTCAACCCGACCCAACCCGAATTTCAAACCATTCATCAAGTAGATTCAAAAATCAGACTGGCCTTAGAGCATGTTCAGAATGTCTACTTATAGTGAATCGTATAATAAAAGAGCAGCATCTCTTTGTGATCCGGGGATGTTATGAATCGATCTAGATGGGACAAGAGAAGGGCGAGATTAGAGAAAGAACAGGGGCGATTGCAAAAGGCGTGACTGACTGAAGAAAGATTCTTATTAACGGCCAAAGCAAATGCTAAACTCCGCTCGCCCGGACAGGAATTCAGACAGCTGGAGAAGACAAAACCACAGCTTCTATTGCTGAAGAATGGGAGCGACTGGTTGTCAGTGAAATCCCCGTGAAATATTCTCTCACTTGTACACCCAAACCCAAGTCAGATCAAGTAGTTCTACTTCTATCCCCACTAGATAAAAATACTACAAGGATACCACAGAGGTTGGAGGTGCCAAGACAGTTAAAATCAAAAGCAGCACTCTCTCCCAGCTTTATCAGTAGCAAAATCCCAGATGCAGGAGAGTTAGACAAGGAAGCCGAAAAAAAAGAGATCGGGCGAGTTAGACAAGGAGGCTGAAAAAAAGAGAGAAACCCCCAAAAACGAAAATTACATATATATATATATATATCAAAGCTATTTTGATAAATATCTCTAAGTTGGGTTTATTTAAAACTCCACTCTAACCCCGAATACGACATTTAAAAAAATAAATTCTGACTCGAAATCTAACCCAAAATTCATTTTTTCAAAGAAATTTAATTTTAGATGATCGAATGGATCAAAATCCGATAATTTCGGGTCAATTTACCGTCCCTAGCTAGAAGCACCAGGATATCCCAACTCAAGCTTTTCATTACGCACCTTGTTGAACTTACCGAACGTTCTTCTTCAATCATCATTGGTCAAAAGGCCCGAAAGAATGGGTTTCTTTTCATTAACAGGCTTCTCAGGGGAGAGTGGCAGGACTGAGTTGCCGGGGCTTTCCAAGCCTACGGTCAATTGGGTCTCGGTTCGGCCCACGATAGCTATCTCTGCATTGCCCACCATTCATGGGATATTTGCCACGTGGCAGAGATCAAGAAGTTGACCATGATCATCATGCCTTCAACAAACAATGGAAGAGAGAGGGGGACCATCCGACGGTAGTAAATGTGGGTCATGGACGGAGACTGGTTCATCAAAGGGTGCTAAAGAACGTACCATATTCAGTGGCAGTGCTCGTGGATCGTTGATTGGGTAATGGGACCCAGACTCCTGGACCAACTGCCACAGTGGCCTAAAGGGTTTGCTTCCTGTGCTTCGGTCGGGCCGATGATCGCCAGGCTTTGGAGTTTGGTGGTAAAATGGCTCAGCAGCCAACAACTAAAATCGCCGTTGTAAGGTTTGTTGAAAAAGAAGGATCAGAAAACGCCGGCGTAACGTTGAGGCCTTCACCAAGCAAGTCCAATGAAAAGAATTACAGCTTCTCCACCGCCAAAATAAACCGTGAAAAAGAAAAGGCAAATCCTATATTCCTTAATTATAAATTTTCTTCGAGTAATTCATATTACTACACAGATTTAAAATAAAACGGAACGATATGAATCATAGTTTTGATTAATCAACAATTGGATGAGGCCGCAGTGGCAGAATTCAGAAGCAAACGGGATGGAATTGTATGGCGGCGAAAATGGCGGACCGCCAAGCTGAGCACGCGGAGTTAGGTCCTGTAGGGGACCTGTTGGCCTCATCAGCTCGGGTTGTTTTGTCATCGGTGCTGATAATACAACAGAAGATATGGCTCATGTGGAGGAGACACCGGTTGCAAAGGTAGCTGTTCATTAAAAAGATTATGACAAGCTTAAAGGAGATGGATCTTCGTCAGGAGTTGGAGAGATTTCAAAGGTTGGGTAATTTACAATTAATAACTGGTATATACAAAATGTAAATGTCTGTCGCCGCAGTTCTTTTGACAATTTTCAGGTTTCAGCATGCAATTATAGATATAGAGATGAATATATTCTCTCTCTAAATTTATACCATTTGCTACTTATTTAAACAGTAGCTGGTGCTGGAGTAAGAAATTTTTATCAAAAGAATTTGCTAAGAATTTCAATATGACAAAATTCATTACCGATTTGTTTCATTTAGCATGTGAAAATTTGAAATAATTGTGTTTTGCATTAAATCTTACACGCATGCATACATATATATATATATAAACACACATAACACGAATGCTATTGGTATTTTGCAATATCATTACCAATTTCAGCTGAAAAACTATTCACGTGGCATAAAACTTTTTTCCATCAAGATTCAATACTAGGAGAAAATAAATTATTGAATGCATAACGTGTATATAGAAAATTAGCTCTTTCTATCCACAGTTTTACAAATGTAGGCTAGTCTCAAACACGAAACTTACCCAAGCTATTACATAGTAAACTCTTTTAAAGATAAATATAGAAAAATGAAACCATCAAAAGAATTGCTAAAGATACACTCACTTCACTTGGAGATCTAATTCATGAACAATTTTCTTAGCATCTCTGATAAGGAAGAAAAAGTTCAATCTATCCCATGTGTGCATTGGCCCAGCAGGAATCAATTGAGTACTAGTTAACTTTTACGGGTAACTAAGGTTCTGAAAATGTAACATCAATTCAAGTTCAACCTGGCCAAATATCAGACAATCTCGTTTATGTTTTGGAACTCATACAAACGTGATCACAAAATAGGGACTAATACAATAAGAAAATAAGGGAATATACAAGAAATTAACCTTAAAGAAAGCCTCCACCCGTCCATGCGGCATCTGATTTTCCATTGTGACCGAAAGCTTTATTATCAGGTGCACCGTTATAGAAATTATCGTATCCATCATCTTTTGCATCGTCCCAGCCAGCCCAATCTTCATTGCTGTGAGAAGTAATCACTTTTGAAGTATCTTCCTTCCTATTGTCTTTGGTGTCCCAGTCATCCCAAGAACTTGAGCTATGAGAATTATAATTCCCACCAGAAAAGGATTGTCCTCCAGAAGTAGAATTCCATCCTTTATTCTCCTGTTTAAACTCCTGATAATATCCATTCTTCTCACTATCATTTTGATGCCAGTTATCATTTTTCCAGTTCACGCCATCCTTAGTGTACTCCTCAACCTTTTGTGAAGCCATTGCCATGACCCCTTTCATGATCCCCCACGTCCTCTGGCCAATCTCACTTGTCTTTGCAGTGACAACATTGACAGTTTCGTTAACCTTAGTATCAAAGCCGCCCTCCTTAACCTGCAAAAAGAGGTGCATCATGCCCTTGTGTTGTAACTCCAAATCCTCATATCCTTATAAATACCAATACAAGGAAAGCAAACCCATCAAGTTAAACTGTAACATCAACAGTTTGGCCAAAACAAAGTGCCAAAGGTAAAGCAGTATGTTTTTCCCAAGGTATCAATTTCCAGGTACAAGAGTTTGACTTGAATCTAATAGTAGATGCTCAGGGCCACAGCAGCAATCCTCAAGTCAAAAACCAATTTTCTTTGCAGAATAAGAATTAAACAGATATATATCCATAGGATTTAGAACAAACAGATAGCAAATTGATTAATGATTGAAAAAATTCAAATTTATCTGCATTATTTATGAAACAGAATTATCCCAAAGGTTCTAATTAGTACTTCATACATCTACCATGGAACTGTTTTATAACCCACATATTGCAAATTGATTAATGATTGAAAATTTCAAATTTATCTGCATTAGTTATGAAATAGAATTATCCCAAAGGTTATCATTAGTACTTCATACATCTTCCATGGAATTGTTATACAACCTAGCAGTCTTGCGGTTAAAAATGAATAAAGAATATTAAGACTCCATCAAGTTAAAGGGCCGTCTTGACCCTAACAATGCCTTTAAAGAGCACAGAAAAGTAGAGAATCAGTAAGAAATGAAAAGTAGGTGAAATTGAGTGATGGTTAATTTCTCTTTAGTTTGGACATTAGCAAAGCAATTAGGAGAGAAATGAAGTGAAATTGCAACTATAGGCTGATCAACTTTAACCAGTTGATTGAGAGACATATTTTTAAAGCTGAAGAATATACCTTAGGAGAGAAATTTGCACCTACAATTTCCTCCTTTTTCTCTCCTCTCGACAAAACAAATATGCTGACCTTAATGGTTTTATTATTTTTTGTACTTATATTTTATTCAGTATAATATAAAATTGTAAATTTTATAAACTTTAAATATTTTTACGTATCGTATTTATATTATACATATAGACAATAGGGGTTTAATGACAGAATAACAAAGTGTCGAATTTGACTGTTCATCATGCATTCTGAACAAAATCATACAAGAATAAACAATTTATAAAACAATATAAATATGATTAGCAGAAAGAAAGACTTTATCTAGTGGCTGTTCAGTCTACAATGCATCTCATACATAAAATCATATAAAAATAAACATTTTCTGACGCGTCGAAAACAAGATTAGAATGCGGACATGGAACCCAATGTAAGACATCAACTTACAAAACAATCACAAAAGAAACCCAAATCAAAATTCCAAAAAAATACCTTCGAGGTGAACTCCTTCGTTCCTGCTTGGACAACATTTGCGGCAGATTGAGCTGCGGATGCAGCTACCATAGATAACCTTCCAAACCCCTGCACCAAAGACAATTTCAGCCAATAACTAATAATTATCACCATAAAAAAATTCAATTGAGAGAAAATAAAAGAAATGAAACGAAATAATGTCTTAACCTGAGACACAACAGAGAGCACATCCCCCTGAGCATTATTATTCCTCTGAGTAGGCATAGGACTCGATCCAAACCCAACATATTTCCCTCCTTGCGAAGGTGGTAGCCCTTCAGGCCTCGATTCATTCTCCACCATCTTCCTCGCAAAAAAGCTGTCCTTATTCGCCGCCGAAGCCTCCAATTGGGATCTCGTGTAAATATCCTCCGTGGATCTCGACCTCACCGGAGCAGCACCCATTCCACCACCATGATTATTCCCTTCTCTAAAATCACTCGCCGATTGATTCCTCCTCAAATCGCTCGAAGATCTAAATGAATCGTCATTATCCCAACTATCCCACCCTTCATTATTCCCATAATTACTGCCCCTGCCACTGGCACGGCCAGCGCCACCGCTCAATGGCGGCTTTTTATTACCACCACTTCCGTTGAGAGTCTCTTTCACAACGGGTGGATCCCGCCAGGGGCGGCCATCCGCTAGGGCTTGGATACGATCGCGATAAACACTCGCGGCATTGGTGTTATATTTGGTAACGATATCGGTTTCTTTAGGGATACCGTATTGAGCAAAAAAGGCGTTGAGCCTGTCGTTACCGCCCGATTCCATTTTCTTGATCTGGATCTCGGACCATGAATCCATGGTAACGGATCGAACGAATGAGATGTGGACACCTAAGCCACGGTGTTTCCCGGAGCATTCTAAGCACATGAAAACGCCGTAGGAAACCGAAGCCCATTGGGGATTCTTTTGGTTGCAATCGACGCAAGTTTTGTTACCTGGCTGTGATTGGAGGTCGCGTAGCCGTCTCGTTGCCGCCATTTTTGAATCCGATCTGAATCGGATTTGGTGAAAAAAAAAATTAGATCGAAAAAAAATATAGGTGAAACAATCAGAGAAAAATGTATCTATAAAAACGATCTAAAAAAGAGAAGAAAAAAAGGAAAAATAAATAAAAATTAATGGGAGGCTAAAATTTTTGGGGGGTTAGATCACCGACATCGTCAACACATTTAGGGGAAGGAGTGTGGTGTGGCTGTTGAAATAAGAGGTTTTTTTTTTTTTTTTAAAGAAAATAACAGAAAATTAAATTGAAATTGAAATTTCTTTATTTTAACAGAAAACGTGTCGTTCGTGTGAAAAAAATTCAACTCGGTTGTGAGTTGGGACTCGTTTTTTGCACTTCGCAAAGCTCTAGTCGTCCCTACGTGGCTGGTGGTGCTGTGGGCTAAAAATGCACGGTGATTTAAAAATTAATAAATAAATAAATTGCAATTTAATCTAATATATATCAAACTAGAAAAGAAGAAAAGGGTACATGTTTGGTTCAACATATAATGCTTGCCTTTTTATGTTTGAATGGTAAAAAATAAAAGGATTATTATGTAAATTACCTCATGTATTATATTCTTTTTAATGTTTGACTCGTAAAAAAACAAAAAGAGTAATAGTAAAATATCTCTTATATTATATATCTTTTTTGTTAATTTGATACTTTAAAAAAATTAAAATTTTATTTTGATATTTTAATTTTCATTTCATCAAGTACATTGATGTTTTATATTATTATCATTAGTTAAGTGATTAACGTGATATTAATATTCAATAAAATTATATAATGTGTAATAAATATTCAATTATCGTCATGTTAATTATTGTTATTTTTACAAAAACTTTAAATAATTTTCTTTTATTTTGGTTTTTTAAAAAAATATTAAAATATTAAAAATAAAAAGAAAAGATCAGATAAAGAAATGAAAGGGGAGAGAGAGAGAGAAAGATTAAACAAGCAAGGCAGTGTCGATTTAGCCTTAGGCTGACCAACGACACACTAATATAGGAGGCACATAACTCGTATGATTTGATAAAATATCTATATTTATCAATAAAGGTTAAAAGAATCTACAAAAATAAATTGTGAAAATTAATAAATATTAATATTACATATTTAAATTTTCAAAAAATGGATATCACATTAGCATTTTATTACTCATTTTCATCATATAATAATCCATTTATACATATTTTGTCTTATTTTTGGGTTTTTGTAATCAATTTTTAAGTAATATATATTTCATTTTTTTAAAATAATAAATTATAATTTTATCTACTAATATTTAAATATTTTATAAGCAAATTTATTGATACAATTTAATTTTTATATATTATTAATATAAAATATCAAAAAAATAAATGATCGTCTATCATATGATAATAATAGTATAAAATACAACTAAAGACTAACTAATAAAATACACTTATAACATTTATGAATCGACATGATATGATACATTAGTACTTATATGTCACGTTGTGTTAGTTTATATATCACATGTTGACACTAATTTTTAATGGATTATGTCATATCAGTCCAATAAAGTCAAATTTCTAACCCAACAAAGGACAAATACGAGTCGCACTTGGCATGGCCTATGATTATAGTAATGGGTTATGCCAGGCACAACACATTATTAAGCCCAATAGACAATTGTGTCATGTTATAAGCTGCCCATCGTATTTGATATCTCAACGTCTTCCTTTTGTGTTTTTGTTTTTTTTTTTCTCCCTAATTCTTTCCCTTTTTTATTATTTTTTAAAATTGGAATAAAAAATATATTTTTAAATTTTTATTTAAATGCTAACTTAGAAAATTGATGATGTGGCAATGATTTGATATTTATATAATGTGTCATGATTTTATTGGATATTAATGATATATAAGTAAGTTGACTAATGATGTTGGACTATAAAACCAAAATACTTGATGACATAAAAGTTTAGTTACCAAATTGAAAATTTTATTTTTTAAATATCCAATTGACAAAAAACATATGGTATATAAACCATTTTTATATTTAACCCAAAACAAAATGTTTGTAACATAAAGCAAATATTTGTTTTAAAAACACTTGAAAATTAAGAATTTGACAATTAAGTCCAAAGCATTTTTCATGTATAAAATATAATGTTTCACTTAATATTCTTATATTGTATTACGTGTTCATGTTCAATATTCAAATTCATAATTTTCTAGTATTTACTTTTACTTTATACTATAAAACTATCTCAATTTTTTTTATGGATATACAACCAATTTTTTAAAACATACAGATAACACACACACAAAAAAAAAAACAATTAAAATTTTAATTTTAATAATTTTAATCTCTCATAATTTTAATAATAAAAAACAACAGCAAAAACCAAACAGAAATAGGATTAGTATTTAAAAAAAAAACAGCTTATTAATTATGTCTTCATTTATGGGCCAATAAATTTAAGTTGCTGGACCTGGACCATTCTGTTTCATAATCATAAGGCAGGTAGCAACGTTGGACGGTTTTGATTGTGAGTTGGTGTGACCGGTTTCTTAATCTTATGTGGGTTGTCTGATCGGATGGCTCACAATGTTTGTTAAAGATGAAAAAATTTATAATTTTTAGGGCCCAACCGGGTTCGAACCGGTGACCTCTTGATCTGCAGTCAAATGCTCTACCACTGAGCTATGGACCCTTGTTGTTGAATGGATGCATTATTTCTTTCTTAATTCTTTTAACTTGCATCTGGATTGTATCGCTTCATCTATAGCTTTGCAATGCAAACAATTTGACCGTATGCCGCGATTTCACCGATTATTTTGCTGCAGCATTGAGTTCCTGTCCCTAATCACCCCTTCTTTATTTTTTTTCCAAGTTAATCACTTAATTTTTTTATTTTGATTTTTTATTTAAAAGTTATAAAGTAAGTTATTTAATTTAATATAAAAATTTAATTATTATATAGTAAATGGATGATAAATTTTAGTATTTATTAATAAAAATATTTGATACAAAATAATTTAAATTTTTTTAAATAATTTATTAATATTATAAACATTAAATAATATAAAACTTTTATTTTATGTAATTTTTAGTTTAATATTTTTAATGATTATTTTTTTTATTATAATTTCTCTCACTGATATTATTATTTTTATATCTAAATACATACTTTACATTTTAATTTTATGACTACAACATCAAATCTTATTTCCATCATTATTTTTAATTTCATCATAATTAATTTTATCATCCGTTTAAAATTGATGCTTAGATGCATGATCTGAGGACATTTATAATTTCAGTCAAATATTTGTCATGTTTTTGCAACCAGCCTGCCTTCGTTAAAGGATTATAAGGTTGGTCAAACCATGCAATCTTGAGTGGCCAGGCTTCAATGTAGGATTCCCCTGGGAAGTAAGACGACTTGGAAGAGATAGGACACGAGTGAATCTAAACTCTAAAACTGCATTTCAAATGATTGATTTTTAAATCAGTTATATTATTAGAATTAATGATTGAAAGTTATAAATTCGAAAAAATTTACACGCATTCAGCTAGATAAATATTAAGAGAAAAATTCAAACAAAATAAACAATACTCTATGGGGTTGTTTTGGCCAACTCCAATATGCCTGTTTATGCAAAAAAATAATATAGAGAACAAGGGACCATTAGCCTTGTCTCCCTTGTTTCCCAGTTTCCATGGGCCAAGACTATAAAACAGTTTAAACCCCATTTCCCATTTTCTATGGCCGAAGCCCCATCTTTTCTTTTTCTTTAATCTCTGAAAAACACTCTCAAAAAAATTATTTTTAAGTTCAAAATCAAGGTTCATGTTTTGTACTTTAATTAGAGGTGAGAGCAAAAGAGATTGTTTTCTCATTATGCATATACAAGCTAGCCGCTAAAAACTTCAAAATCTGGGTGTGCTTGCCACTGTTTAATTCTGCTGTCACCTCAACTCCCCATATCCTTCTCTTTCTCCCACTGAGTATGTTGGTTGACAAGAACATGTTTTTGGGATCCCTCTCCATCCAACGTTAATAGCTGCCTATAGCTTTGACTGTGGCATTTGATCATCTGCATGCATGGGTAATTAATAAGCTGACCGAGTAACTGACCTACGTCTTCCTTGACTAAAATAAGAGCAGCCCTCAACATGATGGGCAATTGGAACTTGGAACCTGACTGCTTTGGTGCAAAAGTTAACAGACAGCCAACTGACAGCAGAGTACTAGATTTTTAGTGTCAGTGATAATATTAAACCTTGACAGCCTCAATATATATATATATATATATATAAGAAATAACAGCTCATACATGGCCAACTGCCTGCTGGGAAAGGAAAACGCTTTCCAGGTTCTGATCAACTGGTGGTGAATTTTATATATATATAAGAAATAACAGCTCATACATGGGCAACTGCCTGCTGGGAAAGGAAAACGCTTTCCAGGTTCTGATCAACTGGTGGTGAATTTATTGCATTTGATCAATCATACAGCCACCGCCCTCAAATATACCATTTTGGTACAGCTAAGGTTGTCGCTTTCAGGCTATTCCTTGGATATATTATTCGACCTTCGTTCCCAACTTTTCTTTCATATGTAACAGAAAGTTGGTAGATAAAGATGCCATGCATGGTTTTGGTTTTGGTTTTGATTTATCGGTTAGCAGCTTCATTCCAGTCCAGTTTTTTCTGTTAAGTTAAAAAACTCAATCCAATTAAACATCAATGGAAACACAATTAAATAATTAATAAATCATATAAAATATAATAATTTAATATGATTCGATCTAATCGACTTATATTCATGAATAAAAAATAAGATTTATTAGTTATAAAAAATTACAAACATACATCAAATTATATCAATCACTCAACAATCAATACTCATATCCCCTCTCAATTTTCTTTAGTCCTATGAAATATTTTCAACCCAAACAAATACATAATCATATGCATTCACAAACCATACCTATATAGATCCTCTCATTCTACTCTAATTTACTCACAAATATAACATTTATACACACCTATAAGACGTACATCTCTAATAATTTTATAAAATATTTATCTCATAAAACTACAACTCTCTTAAATTATTTTCTTATAACTAATCATATAGATATTTCACTTATTTATAAGAATCATTTTTCTCTTAAAATTTTTTTTGTAAGTATTTTTATCTATTAAATAATATCTAATTAATATCAAATAAATCTCTTATAAGATTTAAGTTACTATTATCGATATTTTTCAAGTTCATTCATCTCACTTGTACCTGTCTTCTTCATTTTTTGATCATCTTTTTTAGATGAAATTTCTGCGTTGGGACCAAATGGGATCAAGATTGTTAGGTTTTGTACCTAAATATTGGTGTTAATGGTTTTGCAGGATATTAATTGAATCAAGACCCTCCATATTTGTGATTTTTTTTTTATATACTAAACTACTTGAGATTAAATTTCCTTTCCCTTTGAATTTTTTTTTAAAAGGCAAAATGGTAGTATTAGTAGATTAAATTACAAATCATATGTAAGCTAATTCAATGATATTAATGGTGTTACAAAGGATAGAAGGCAAATACATTCATTTTGTTCTTCTCTTTTAACATAGTAGTTGCTTGTTGCTCGTCACTTGTCATTGTTTAACCCATGTAGCTCGGATTTAACGTGCTCTTCATTTTTTTGGGCTTTACTTTCAAACATTCTTTAGAAAATAATTCTGAATTTCGGTGGATTATTATTCATTATTGAAACAATTTTGCATTTATGAGACAAGGAAAAAAAAAAAAAGGTAGGTGGCGTACCTTTATATGAAAAAGCTGAAGCTTGCAATAAATGACCACCATTCCTGGTAAGCCTTGAATTAGTGGTTAAAATGTCTTTTTCTTGGAAAGGACAATGGGAAACATTAGCACAAGCGAAAGCAAAATTAAAGAAAAGGTTAAAATAATTAAAAAAAAACTTAAATTTTATTATTTTATTTAAATAAATTATATTTTTATTTTATTCAAATAAATTTTTAATTTTTCATATAAATTCAAACAAACTATTAAATTTTAATTTATACATAAATAATTTTAAATGTAAACCAATTTTTTATTAAAAATAAAGATTTATTTAAGTATAAAAAAATAGTATAAATATTTATTTAAAGACAATAAAAATATAAAATTTATATGAAAAATTAAAATAATTGAGAATTTTTTTAACATTTTAGTCAAATAAAAATGAGTGATAATTGTTGATGAAACAAGTTTTGGGCGGTGACTGATGGACAAAGTATTTATTTTTTAAGGTTTTTTAAATAGTATTTGTTGCAGATATTTTCTGTTGGAATAAATATGAGACAGTTACCCATAAGTTATAATTATGCTCTTATAGTTATAAAATACTTCTAACAATAATCTTTACATCAAGTGAAAAAAATCGGAAAAAAGCCAAGGGTGAGTAAAACCAAAAATAAAATGCCTAAGAACAATTTAATTCTCAATAGTTTAAAAAGCAAGAAATCGTACCTCAACAATGTCGAGCAGCTGAAAAATTGAATGATTGGACAACAAAGCAACTAAATCCTCTGACGAAATTATTAATGGACCTCAACTTTACATGCAATTCTAGTACCATATTTCTCTTACCACAATAAAATACAGCATTAGTAAGTACATTTTAAAACAATACACTACATTCCACGTCACTTTATTTTTATAAAAATATTAATATGATTCTAAAATTATAATAAAATATTTAAATTATAAATATAATAATTAATATGGTAATCATTTTTATTATAGATAATTTAAATAAAATATATGACAGATAAAAAATTATCTAAATATTATATTAATTAATAAATTTATAATTTAAGTATTACATTAAAAATATTTAAAACTCATATATAAAATTAAACATTTTATTATAGTTTAACAATCATTTGTGACATTAACCTTTAACAATAATTCATGATATTTTTTTTTTAACAATTAAGAAAGTGAAATCTTCCCCTCCCAAAATTATTAATTTTAGTTTTTATGATTCTCAAATTATTTCTTTTAAATTACAATTTTTAATAGATCACATGATGTTATTTTCAACGGATAACACAATTTAAAATTTTATGATTTCAACTTAAAGCTTGAAGTTAACCTTCCATTTTCTATCTTGTGGCATCATTGACATTATCACTTGGTTTTTTTATTATCCAAAAAATTTAGAAGTAGTGGAGGTTACTCCATTTTTAAGGTTAGAGTAAATGGTTAACTTATAAAAAAATTTTACATTTTTTTTATAAAATTTTTTAAAATTTATATATCATCTACCAATAAAAAATCATAAATTTTGAGTTTAGATGCTTTGCATTCATGCCCTAAATGGAAAAGGAAAATCTATCGAAATTGTTGGTAAGTATGCTATTGAAAAGTAGCGTGAACTAGAGAAGTTCCAACCTGCAACCTTACTGATATAGTTTGATGGTCGTTGGGAGTATTAACTCCCATTCACCTCCAACATTATACATCTTCGTAAATGCTCAAATGTGACTACCTACATATCACCAAACCATAAATACATATCCATTCCTTCCCCTTACTAGTCAATCCTCGTTTGCTCTTCTTTCTCCAGCTTTCATCTGCTTCATCTTTCCTTCTTTGTCTGTTGCCACGGTTTCAGAGCTTGTTATTGACTTTTTCTGAGTGATTTGAAGTTGAAGAAGAAATGGTTGGGATCTTTTCGTTGGTGACAGGACGGCCTGGACCAAGTGGGTTTGGTTCTGCATCCACTGCTGAAGAGGTTACGGAAGGAATTGATGGAAGCAACCTGACTGCTATAATAACTGGTGATCAGCTCTGCCCTTTTCTCTTAAATTCCATGGAATTTTTGGATTCACTATAACACAAAGCATATTTAGATTGTTTTTAATCTTGTATGAACTGGGTTTTTCACCTTATCAGCATTTATGTTTTGCCTGTTGTTTGTACTATGATCATTTACATTTTTGCTCGACTTTTTCGTATGTGACATGTCGCATCGTGGCTTCACCTTGTTTTCAAACGTCGCTTTACATGTTACTTCTAAGATATGACATTCAAATCTTCTGTCTCTTAGCTTTCCTTTGTTTACCATTTGGTTTCCCTGCTCTTTTTTTTTTAGTCTTTTGCAGTTAAAAATCGTCTTCTACTAGATGTTCTTTGAAGCTATATCTCATTTGGGTATCGATATTTTTTGTGTTTGTGTGTAAATGCAGGAGGAGCAAGTGGAATTGGGTTGGAGACTTCAAGAGTATTGGCTCTTCACAAAGTCCATGTCATCATTGCTGCAAGGAACTTGAAAGCTGCCAATGAAGCACAAAAAGTTATTCTTGCAGAGGATGAAACCGCCCGTGTAGATGTTTTGGAGCTTGATCTGTGCTCTATTAAGTCCATTACAGCATTTGCTGACAAATTCATTGCTCTTAATCTTCCTCTCAATATCTTAATGTAATCTCTCTCTCTCTCTCTCCCTCTCTCAAGGCCATGCAGGCAGGCCCATGGGTTTCATTTATTTGTTGATTTTAAGGAATTAATCAATAACAAGATTTACCATATGTCTTAGAAACAATGCTGGAATCATGTTCTGCCCCTTTCAGCTTTCCCAAGATGGAATAGAGGTGCAGTTTGCAACTAATCATATTGGTATGTAACTACGTATCAGTATAAATTAATTACACTACATCCCATTAGATTAATCCTTATTGCTTTTTCCTATTCCAATTTACTTTTTCAGGGCATTTCCTCTTGACAAACGGTCTGTTAGACACGATGAAGAACACAGCTAAAGCCACTGGTATACAGGGAAGGATTGTTAACTTATCATCAATTGCCCATAGCCACTGTTATAAAAATGGGATCCGATTTGATCGGATCAGCGACAAAGCTGGGTATGCCAACATCTTGAATCATAATGTTTCATGTTTCCATTATCAGCTAATGGTTTTTCTGCTTTTTTTCTTTCAGTTACAATGACAAAAGAGCGTATGGGCAGTCCAAATTAGCAAATATATTACATGCCAATGAACTCTCTCGTCGATTGCAGGTAAATCTCAGCTCAAATTTCTGTTGTTTTCTCGTCAAAGAGTTATTGTTGCATTGCTAATTTCTTCTCATACCATGATTTTTTTTCTCAACCAAACAGCAAAAAGTTGATAATAAATGGCATTAAATTTTGTGTACAAAGTTGTTGAGCATTTTGGCTTTAATGGTGTGTGCAGGAGGAGGGTGTGAACATCGCAGTCAATTCTGTCCACCCTGGATTGATTATGACGCCTCTGTTTAGGCACTCTTGGTTCCTAATGAGTATGTTCATCACAAATTTCCTTAATGTACCTTTTTTTTTCACCACTTACTCTAATTTATCACCTGCTGCTTCTGCAGATTTTCTGAAGTTCTTCAGCTTCTTCCTGTGGAAGAATGTTCCTCAGGTAACATCTCCATTCAAGCTTCAGAAACTGCATTCTGGGGAATGGATTTCAAGTTCAAAATGAAACGATATTCAACTGATTTCTTTCTCTTTGGTTTCTGTAATCTGTAGGGGGCAGCTACAACCTGCTACGTCGCACTCCACCCACGCCTGAAGGGAGTCACCGGGAAATACTTTGCGGACTGCAATGAGACGACACCAAGTTCATATGCTAGAAATGAGGATTTGGCAAGGAAACTATGGGATTTCAGCAACAAACTGATTAACTCAGTTTCAAAGCCTTAAATCGAATCAACGGCTCTCCATCCAAATGAAAACTACATTATTATATTATATGAAGACAGAAGCCTAACTTGTGCTATTCCCTATAAGTTGAAACAGTTGGACTGTACCAGAGTAATTATAACTATAAAAATCTTAAAAAGTGGTATGACTAGAGATGATTTTCGCCGTTATCTAATAAATGTTACGAGGTAGTGTCATGCTAGTGTGCATTTTTTCAATGTTTCCAAGGAATAAAATCCTTTCAAAACTCTTATTGATATTCTTTCTCATACTTTTTTTTTTCTTTATTTAAATTTTAAAAAACTTTAATCGTATTTATATTAAAATATCAATATTATTTATACCAATAAAAAATTTAACATTTTACTCGACTAAAAATAAAAATAAAAAAGACTTTTTGAAAAATGATGGTAAAATGAGAGAGGAATTTAATTTCATCTACTTTTTAGTTATGATTGATAAATTTGATTGAATCAACGATTCATTTATTTATATTTTATAAAATATTAAAATTTTTATATTTATATTATATTTTATATTAAAATTATCTTAATTTATGTCGACATAAAAATATAAAATATATATTTTTATATAATTATTATTAAAATTTTAAATCGTATTACTGTCGTATTATTTTTTTCATATCTCATTCATGCCACTATGTCGTATTTTAAATCACCCGTAGCTCTTGCTGAAACATGTCAAGAACGTGAAAGAGACTAACTCCATGAATGTTTTGACTTCTGAGATAGAGCATTTTGCTTTTGAGCCTTTTTTTTTTTTTTTTTATCTGTTTTTGGTTTTTTATTTAGTTAGAGACAGGAGAACAACTCCATGACCAAGGAAGAAAACACAAATCGCAACAAGCATAATCACTACCATTGTCAGCAACATGACTGCCGGGCTCATAAAGAATAAGATTTGAAGTCTGTCACTGCATTTTTGGCCAAACAGGTGGCTAGAAACCTGAGAAAAGTTCAGACCAAACATGGACATGTCTCATATAAACAGGGATAACTTAGCATCCTGTCATGCTTAAAATGTAGAGCAATCAAAGCACTGAGCTGTGTATTCAACTCCCCATCACCAATGCCCAGTAAAGCTGCCATGAGAAGTGAGTGTACTATGCATAAGACTGCATTGCCCTAACCTGTATTTTAGCAAAAGCCAGAGGAATATCATTGCCTGACAAGAAGCTCACCCGTAAACTATCAAAGTTATTGACGTTAGGACAGAGGTGAGTGGGGCAGCCGCCGGTGAACGCAAACAGAAGGTTTTACCAACAAGATGAGATTAGATAATATATCATCCAATTGAGCAACACGGTTAATACCAAAATGTTTTCTACAGGAATCTACAATAATTCTGTGCTTAATGAGTGAATGGATATCTCTTATTACGAAGATAGATGGCAGCTTTTTTTTTTTCTTTTAAAGAAGACAAAGCTTGAAACAAATTGTTGCAGTAATGGCCTCAACAAGCAATACCAATATATCATACAAAAGGATGCTGTTATCCTGAATAAGCAATAAGAGGAATGATCAAGAGCATCCGTATGTCAAGCAAAGGAGTGATAACTGCCATCAACCGAGATACCACAGAAGAACAAACACTGACAGAAGAATCTGCTGATAAACAGATAAGAACAGTACCTAATGTCATACTACAAAGAAACATAATGAACAGCAATTTTATCTTGCTGGTACTTCCTTCCTACAGGGTAAGAATAGCTTATCAGTAGCTGTTGAACATTTTAAAAAGGAAAGAAGACACTATACTCCTAGCCAAAATATCCATGCCATCAACTATTAGAACTACTGAATCAAATCCCATGTTGCGTGATTTTTTTTTTTTTTGGGACATTGGAAATGGTGGTGTGCGTATAATTATGTAAAGAAGGAATCGGTTCTTGAAAGAGAACCTCAGAGGTAAGTATTAAAATCAAGCATATCCGGAAGCAAGCATCCAATGCCGGAATGCATTTTCCAACCCCTATATTACACAGAACACCATCTTCCAGACCACAAAAGGTATTTATAACATCTTTTGGTAAACAGGAGGCAACACATACCACTCCATGTTGCAACACCGCTAGTCTGAAAAGATTTCCAACAAACTGCAAATTTTAGGAAAATCAAATTGGGGTAAAAGATTAATATTTACAATCTTCAACCTTGTCATGGCAAGTTAACATATTCAAAGAAAAGAGTTATTCAGACTAAAAGAATAAGAAAACGACTAGATTGTCACAGCAGAGATCAATGGTTACCTGGTGAAGAGCCAAACATTGCCCAAAATTCTCCATTGAAGTTACCAATCACAGTTCCTTCATGCAAGTTGGTATCTCTAGCATGACTGGGTGCAGTAGAAGTAAGATATGTGCCCTGATAAACCAAAATGGTTAATGACGAAAATCTATCAGTAAACATCATTAAATAAGAAAGATAAATGAACATAACAAGTCTAAAACATACACATACCTCCCCAAGTCATACTATTGAAGCTGCAAAATCAAGGTAAACAGAAACTGGTACCATAGTAGACCTATAACAATAAGATTAAAAGATGTTCAATTTGAAATTTCCATCACAACATGATTGATCATGTTATGGAAGCATTAGAATACAAACAATGCATAAAAGATGAATTAAAACCGAAAATTGCACAAAAAACAGTTGTTCACTTCTATTACCGTTCAAAAACTGAAAAAGAACTTTCAGTTTCAGTTTACTTTTAAAAGTCACTAAGTGAGTAACAAAGAAACCTTTTTTACAATATAGACTTCAATTTTACAGCTATGTACAGCCAATAACGAGGAGTTCGGTTGAAGTGAAATTGTGGGAGAGAGGAAGTTGGGTTTGGTTTTATTGAGAGGATGAGAATGAGATGGAGAAATGTGAAGTGGGTTTTTGGAAGAAAGCGAGAGTAGAGTAAGGCCAAGGGTAGCATTTGAAACATGTTACAGGAAGGTTCAAGGAAGGCTTTTGAGTTGTGGTTTGTTTAAAGGAAGGTAAAGCCTCAGCTCTGCATTCAGCTAAGCAACGAGCGAGATTGACGAGACAGATTTGGTGTCACTTCTAGAGCTGTAAACGACTTGAAATGAACGAATCAACGCACGCATGTGATTTGATCCTTCAGGTTTGGTTCATAGTAGGTTAGAAAATTATTTTATTAGTTTGAGTTTGATTTATTTAAATGATAGAATGTTTACTTTTTTTTTTTTAAATGATAAAATGTTTATAGTTTATATTCAATTCAATTAAATTAAATAAATTTATTCATAAATATTAAATAAATATGTTCATAAATATTTACATAAAAATATATTTATAAATAATAAATAAATTATAATCAAATAAATTTAAACAAATAAATCTTAAACAAATATAAATAAACCCAAATGAACGTAAAAAACATTAAAATATAATTAAAATAAAAAATAAAAAATAATTTTATTAATATTATTATAAATAAATAATAAATGAATAATAAACAATATACTTTCAATAAATTTTAAATAAATTTATTTACGAATATAATCAAATCAAACGATCATCTATTCATATTTAATTTAATTAATAAATAAATATATAAATACTATTTAAAATTATTAATATATTCACAAATAATTCATTAAAAACTCTTTTCATTCATATCCCTAATCATTTAATTGCTAGGGTGACATTTGTTTTTTTTATGGTCTCCAACGTCTGGCCCAAGTATCTATAAACAAAACAAGGATTGCGTTTCTTCACGATCCAGTAAAAGTTTGATCTAGTAAAATGTGAAACTTGAAAAAAAGTTTGCAAGAACCATAATTGATTCTCTGAACACATCAATCTAGAATCACACATAATGGCAAAAAATCAGTGACTCGGAAGCCATGAAAGCATGCCTTTTTAACACTCCAAAACAAATTGACGAGGGTCAATATTCCAAAAAAAAAAAAAAAAAAACTTTAAAAGATCTAAAGGTGTTGTCTAACCCCTCACAAACAGTTACATACTAGCTTGAAGAGATAACGACCACACAAAGGCACTCAACACATAGGTTCTAGGATAACATACACCCGAAACCACAGGTTTATACCTTCAAGACTAATAAAAACCTATGGCAAAACTTGGAAATTGGCATCCTAATTATCCAAGTTCACCATTCCACAGCCTATAAACATTTCACTTAAGTAAAGACAAATAGATGAAGCCCCCATAGCAATTTGCAAGGCCTAAAGGTCCATACTCAGCTAGCACGGCTTTTGATGACGTCAAGACCCATCTCTGTCGGATCTGTTGCTTGCAATTCCACCTGGATTCCATCCAGTTCTCTCTTGAATCTGTCTTTGGAGCTAGCATATATCATCTTGCTCCTGACCCTTGATGTATCGGGAGACCTTTACAGGACAACAATGTAATAAGTACAAAAGGCAACAACAAAATACCAGGAGTAAAGATAATTCAGAAGATCAAGAAAACTAGCAGTACCATGCAATGAAAAAGATCCTGCTCTTTTGGACGTTCTCTGCTGTTAGAAAATCAAAATCATACACGGCATATCGACATTCATCAGCAGGAAGACTTTTAGCAAAATCCTCGTAGCTCTCGGTTGGCTCACCAACCTTCTCCACAATAACTTGCTTCTGCTTCTCCTCAATTTTGAAGACAATGAAACGGTAAGTTCTTTTTGCCTTAAGCTCCAAAAACTTCAACTTGCACTCATCGTGCACAGCCATTCCTGATGCTGCATTCGCCTGAGGATCACATGACAAAACTTCGAATATATGAGGCAACCCCAATGTTTGATTATATCAATAAGATGCATTTGCAACATCAACATTAATACTAAAAAGGGATAAAAGAAGAAAAACCCAAATGAAGTGATCATCGGTTAAGTCTCTTACTCTCTAGCACCTTGATTTGGCCCAAACAAAGTCAAAGATAAGACAGAAGCAAGACCGCACTTAGATATAGATACCCTCTACACTAGGTTCCAACTCGATCTATTTCAGCTGCCACCTATGTTGGCAAAATATGGTGGGGCAACAACATCGCTTTAAGAATTAAGATACAGCCACATATTGGGCACAATTCTTACATTGCTTTGAGAACACCCTCGTTTATTGTTTATGATCATACTTTTATGTTTGGATAAATAAAATTTCAATAATCGTATTAAAACGACTAATATTTCCTAGATTTTTTTTTTTTGCTACTTTAATGTGAAACAAATAAAAGAATGCAAACAAAAATAACAACAAACAATAAAATACAATGATCCAAATTAAAATTGCAGACAGATTGGATCAACATGTTAATATATTAAACAAGTCAAACAATCAGTAATCAAGAAAATTAGTTGAAAATCGACTAAACAGCAAATCCATTAGAATCAATCGGCTAAAGACACTAGAATCTAGATCAGTGACAGTTCCATTTCAGCAAAAATTAAGTACATCTAATTCCATGGAAATAAGATCAAATCATAAAATTCTACATCATCAAAGCACAAACTACAGATTTAAAACCCTAAGATCTAGAACCTAAAAAAAAGAGATAAAATCAGTCAATGCAGGAAATTTTCCATAAGGAATTCAAGAATCACAGTTTCACTAAAGAGATCAATCAGCCGATTAAACACCATATTTAGCAAAGAAAAATCAACAAAAAAGTGACGATCCACGAGGATTGCAAAGAAATTACAAAATAAAATCAGGGAATTATTTAAAACCAAAAAAAAAAAAAGAAGCTGAAACATTACCATCCTTTTTCAGGTTCGTTTGGAAACGAGGATAGGTACCGCGATCGACGGAGGAGGAAGAGGAGGAGAAAATGTAGAAAGAAAGAAAGCTCCTCCGACAACGAGGGTGGAAAAGGGGGAGGATATTAAAGCTCCTTTTATTTCGCTGGCCCTGACCACTGGAGAATTAATATCCTGGTTATATTCTATGCTAAGTTATCGTACGAAACATTCCTTTGTCTAATCCAGTGCTGCCACGTCGTGTACAGTTTATGCAGTGCACGTTTGTTATTGGTTTTGTGTCGTGATCATGATTAAGAGCTGTATATGATTAGCTGCGATAAAGCTTTACAAATTGGCGACTTCAGCTTGACTCGGCTGAGTTTTGCAATTTTGCAGCTTCTTTTAAATTCACTTTTTTTTTTTTTTTATCTGAAATGTAGACGACATAATAGAATAAAATTAAAATTTTAATTTATAATAATTATTTAAAAAATAAAAATAAAAATTTTGACATTTAAAATTTTATCGCTAAATAAGTTGATTATTTATATCAAAGATATAAACAAATTACATTTTTAACATTTGATTCACTGTGCATAATTCATTTTTTTAAAATCAAACAAAAAAATAAATAATTAAAATAACAAGAAAAATTAAAGTATTAGTAATAACATTGAAAAATTATAATAAACCACTATTATTTGTTACTAACTAACATGGAAATGGAATGAAAAGTTTATAATTGAATAATCTCTAATCATTCTAGTTTAATATTAATTCATTTGGATAAGTTGTAACATTCATAAAAGGCTTGTTTTCAATTTTATCATATGGATTTAAAAAAAGGAGGTTCAATTATTGTCAAATAGAAGCACTAAGTTCTAACCTTAATGTACCAAAGAAAGTTTAATCTTTTCTCTCAAATAAAATAAAATTCATACTCTTATTGTCCTAAATCCTATATAGCATCATACAACAAATTTTATGTTTGAACACTTACATTCTAGCTTCTATTAATAAAAAAGAATTATAGTATGCATTAAAATTATATTATCCATATTATTTTTCTTTGTGATTAAATTGTTTATAATTTAAATTTTAAAATTTAATTTAATTAATTTAATTAATTATTTTTAAATAAATTTTAAATTTAACATATATAATTTTTTTTTATTATCAAATTGCAATATTTTTATAAAAAATTTGTCTATAATTTATATTAAGTTACTTGTAGTCGTTAAGTTTGGGTTATGTTAGCCTAGCTAGCTGTAGCCGGTAAGAGAATAGCTTAATAATGGCAAATTTGTAAAGCAACCCATTTCTCATTCTCACCAAAGCTTAAGTCGAAATCGCGACGAACACCCGGGTTGGGTGGGGTCCACTGCTGCACTGCCATTTAAAGATTCTCCCTCCCTTTCTCTGCGTCAATCTAACGCTACCCCTCTCTCACCATTTTCTTATTTCATTTTTTCACAATTGCCAACCACATTCGTCGTTTTGTCGCGCGCCTTTATTTCCTTTTTGTCATTTTAAAATACAAAAATTAGTAAATAACTTTTTTACAAAAAATTGCCGTAAAAAATAAAAGAAAATTTATTAATTTTAGGATTTAAATTGTAAATTTAATAAATGTTATTTTTTACTGATAATTTTACAAATAAGTTAAGCTAAATCTTGAATTTAATTCTCATAAATTTTAATACATTGTAATATATATAAAAGTTTTATTATACATAAAAGGAAAGAAATGGAAGGAAAATTAGGTATAAACTTTATTTAGCATTTTATATTAGATTTGAATTTATGGATTGTGACAAATAAGAGAATTGAATATTTAAACTTCATTTAGATAGACGATAAAATTAATTATATTAAGATTAAAAATAATAATAATTATAATTTAAAAAATTAGATAGACGATAAAATTAATTATATTAAGATTAAAAATAATAATAATTATAATTATAATTTAAAAAATTAGATAGACAGTAAAATTAATTACATTAAGATTAAAAATAATAATTATTATTATTATAATTGTAATTTTAAAAAATATTATAATATAATTAAAAAAATTTAATAAAAAATTTATAATGAATGCATTTTATTAAAATTAATATTTGAATTTAATCATATTATATAAAAATACTATAAAATCTAAATGAACACTTAAAAAATAATTTATAAAAGAATAAATGTTTTAATTTCCTTAACATTCTTCCTTCTTTACTCACGAAAATGGTTAAGCATGTAATTTGAAAATCATTTCATGAAAAGCACAAAAATAAAATTGGGGCTCATCTCCAACCCATTTAAGCAGAAAAAGCCCAAAAAAATGGATTGATTTTGAGTTCGTGCAGGTCCAGAAATCATCAGGATTAAACGTGAAACAAACAAACGGTCTATATTTCAAACACTTTAACCAATAACAATTGCTTGCTTGTTGCTTTAAGGATCAAATCTCAGCACACACGTGTCTATAACTGAAACTTCAGCCGTCGTTGTCTCACGTATCTACGGCGGTTTCAGCAATCATTCCACGTGGTGAATTCTAATAGGTTACTTTATCCCCAGTTCCCACCAGACATCCACTTGTCTTCTAGTCACTTCCAAATTTCGTCAGCAACATTTTCATTTGTTTTAAAAGGGAAAAATAGACAATTTAACCCCTTAACTATTGCATTTTTTTAACGTCGCCCCTAAATTAATTTTTTTTCTAATTAAGTATCTAATTTTATTTTCGGATATTAAATCATATCTATATTTGTAAATGAATCAAATATAAATAAATGTATATCTATGATTTATTCATTTAATTTTAGAAGTGTTCAAATTCAATTCGTATTTGATAAAAAAATTATTCTATTTGTTTAAGTTTGATTTATTTAAATGATAAAATATTTATATTCGATTAATATTCAGTTTAATTAAGTCAAATAAATTTGATCATGAATATTAAACGAATATGTTTATAAATAATAAATAAACAATAATCAAACAAATTTAAATAAATAAATTTTAAATAAATATAAACAAACCTTAAAATATGATTAGAGTAAATGATAAAAATATAATTATATTAATATTATTATAAATAAACAATAAATACATAATAAATGAATAATATAAAAATAAAATTTAATCGAATTTATATATGAATATAAAAAAATCAAACAACCCTTTATTTTTATTAATTAATTTAACAAATGAATATAAAAACATTATATAAGATCATTCATTAGGTTTAATGAACGAAAATAAATAAATAAAAATCAAATATATTCACAAATAATTTATTAAAAATTCTATTCATTTATATTCTTAATCATCTCAACCTTTAGCATTGCTAGAATAAAATTAATATGAATTTAAATATTTATATAAATAACACGTGATTATCATATTATAATAATATAACTGTTTAATATTACCTAACGTTATTAAGTGATTGAAGTAACTTAATATAAGAAAATAAAATTTAGATATTTGATTTTTTTAAAGTTACATTGAAAGGTTTCATAATATGAGGGGTCAAATAGGATATTATTCCTTTTTAAAATAAAAAATATTATCTGTTGAGTTAGATTTATTTTCTCTCTCATCCTTCCTCCCACTCCCTCGCTCTCCGTGTTCTTTCTTTCATGAAAAATTAAATCTCGACCGCGAACTAAGCTTTTTATCCTTCTGCTTTGTTGCCGCCCTCTTCGTTCCCTTTTCAATTACTTTCTCTTTTGCACATAAAAAATCAAAAACCCTAACCCAAATCTTTCGCGCTTATTTGTAACCCAAATCTGAATGATTCTTCTTTCTTTTTTCAACTTTCCACAAATCTCAGATCCGCGAGATTTGAAATCTGGTTTTCCAACACTCGTGCGTGCTTTATTATTCGATTTGCTACAGTTCTATGTTATTTGAATTCGATTTCTTTAGATCTTCTTTGATTCTTGGCTCTTTGTAGGTAGTTTTTTTTTTCGGTTAAATTTCTTATATTTCAAATTTAAATAACGGTTATGCGGTTGTTGGATTTTTCTTTTTTGAATGGTTTGTTTGTTTGTTGAATTGAATTTTTCTTTTTGTTTGTTTTGCAGTTAGTCTTTTCTTTTGCTCCTCAAATTTGTAAAGAATATCGGTTTAGCTTTGCTTTTGGGGCAGACATTCAAGATTTCAATACGAAATTGGATTCAAGTTTCAGTATATAGAGAGTGAAATTTTTGGGTTCATATCTTTCTTTGGATTTCCACTTTTGAATGCTTTCATTATCAGAGATTTGGAAAGAAATTGATATTGAATGGAGGAAGAAGCAGTTTGTTTGGAAACCTTAGCAGAGGAGATTATGGAGAATGTAAAGAGTGCAATGCCTGAATTGAAACGAGACCGTGAATGTCTTCAACCGGAGACATCTCCTAACAAGAAACAAGCGAAAGAAGTTTCCAGTGAAGATATTGGGTCAGAGGTTTCAAATCCAATTGTTTCTCCCAAAGAAAACACGTCAAATTTCCATGACATAAGCAGTAGAAACCAAGCTGTATGCGGTGACGTTACCTCTGTTTGTTCCGGGAATTCGAGCTCCGAAGAGACTCTTAGTGATAGTTCTCAAATGGGTTATACCTCCGGTGTCGTGTCCAGTTCCCATGTTACATTGGAAATTCCCAAGCATTTGAGTTCGTCAGGTATTAGAAAGATTACGTTTAAGTTTAACAAAAGGAAGGAGGATTATGATAATCAAACGTCGTATTCAGTTGGCGGCGAATGTATGAATCTGGAAAATACTTATGGGAATGGTCCAGTTGAATGGAGTAGTCGATATTCTCGTGTTCCCAATATGGAATTGAAAATGTCTAAGAAGGTTGTTCCTAGTAACTATCCTACAAATGTCAAGAAGTTGTTAGGAACTGGCATTCTTGATGGTGCCCGAGTGAAGTATATTTCTATCTCGATGGAGGTAAATTGTTTTCATATGTAAGGTTAATAAGGTTAATTTTGATTTTGTTAAATGTTCATTTGTTTATGAAAGTTATTACCAAATTTTTTTATGGTTGTTAGAGAGTGCTGGATGGAATTGTTCATGCTGGTGGATATTTGTGTGGATGCTCATTTTGTAATTTCTCAAAAGTAAGTCACTCAGCTGTTCTAATTATTACTATTATTTTTTCTTTTAGTGTTTGTGATGTATTATATTAGCTGAACAATGGTTGTCTGGTGTGAGAGTAGGTGCTGAGTGCCTATGAGTTTGAGCTGCATGCTGGTGCCAAAACTAGGCATCCAAATAATCACATATACTTGGAGAATGGGAAGCCAATATATAATATTATTCAAGAGCTAAAGACTGCTCCACTCAGCATTCTAGATGAAGTGATAAAAGACGTTGCTGGTTCATCTATAAATGAGGAGTCCTTTCAGGATTGGAAAGGTAAGAAATTCTGTTTTAATGCTTTGATTAGGTTTATCTTGGTTGGGTGTAGTCCTATCTCATCCAGTATATCGGGTCTTTTTGAGTTTGTGAATAGATTTGTAAATACTGCTCATTTGACACGGAAAATTCTTCTGACAGTAAAAGAAACAGAAAGATGAGAATTCAACTAGAGGACAGCCATTTTACTTGAGGTTGCTTCCCTTGTTATGGCGTGTATTTAGGGTCTCAAGCTTCCAAGCCTAGATATGCAAATAGATGACAAAACCACAGAGAGGAGAAACATTTAGGATAAGGTTGCTTACGTGTATGTAGTAGCTAATCTGATACATCCAACGCTTGTGAATATTAATGTGGAAATTTACCACACTACAATGATAAAAATTTAATCTAAATTGGAAAGACAAGAATAGATATATACTCAATCAGAGGAAAGCAATTGCATCAAGGTTGCTGCCGTCAAATCGGGTTGGCATGTGTATAGATTAAGCAAAGGTCCAGCGCTGAGTCTTCTGCCCTCTCATGTGTGGTTGTGCAATAAGAAAACCTGATTTCTTTTTCCCCTTTTTGCAATCTCATTGTGTTGGAAATCAGGATGAATTTCAAGAGTTAGATTTCAAATAAACTCTTCCGGGTATATTACCAGAGATATTGTCAACCTGCTTAGAGAAAAGGAAAACTTGACTTTATACATTGCCAGTACAGAACCGCATTTAATTTTTGCTATTGTTCAGGTTTTGACATGCTTTTATGTTCTGCAGCTAGTCTGCAGCGAGGTAATGGAAAGGCTCAAGCTGAGAAGAAATATAACATGAAACGTCCTAGTTTGCCTAATTCTCTAAGGTAAAGTGATATAAAGTTTTAGTGACTTCTATTTCTATAATCATTTGTGTTTGAACTTTTTAAAATTTTTTCTTCTGTCCTTATCTGATGCATAGGTTTTATTGAATGCATTTTCTTGGTTTTCAACCTGGATAAGGATTGTACCCATTGGTTTTGTCTTGGTGCTAAGTGGAATTGAATCTAGCATTTGAATGTCATGTTTTCCTTTCAATTTTGTTCTCATAGGAGTTGTTGGAGGGAAAAAAATATTGACTAATTTACAAGATTGCATGATTACGGCTAATTCTTTAAGAGTACTGTTCTCTATAACCAAAAAAGCTTTATTTTCTATGCTTTTGCCAAGAATACTTTTCAAATTGTTAATTTTTGTTATTTTCCACACTTCACTGACATTCTATCCTTTTTGTAGGCCGAATTTGTGTGTTTCTAACTCAGTCATGCAACGAAAGAGAACTGCTGATGGTGGTATGAAGAAAAGGTATGCTATGGCTTATATTGTGCTTCCTCTCTATGTAAATTTTAGATATGCCGGCATTAAGCTGGAATTTCTTTCAATTGTTGGTAGGGATAATGATTTACACCGGTTACTCTTTATGCCAAAAGGACTTCCAGATGGGGCTGAACTGGCTTACATTATCAAAGGACAGGTGCAATGTTTTATAGGAAATAATATGGTTAATTGGCAATAATTTATGCCTATTACTGACTGTAAGTGTTTTTTTTTTTTTTCCAGAAGTTACTTGAGGGCTACAAGCAGGGAAATGGCATAGTCTGCAGCTGTTGTGAGAGAGAGGTGAGCTTCTAATTTATTATCAATTTGATGCTAGATCATCTCTCTCATCTATATTTTTCTTTAATTTTATTTGTTTTGGTGTGAGCAGCTTAGCCCTTCACAGTTTGAAGCACATGCTGGAATGGCTGCCAGAAGACAACCGTGAGTGGTCTTTACAGAATTTGATCTTTTTCTAGAATGTTATAAGTCATTCTTTGTTAAGTTTCTATCTTTTCGCAGGTATCGTCACATCTATACATCTAATGGATTGACGCTTCATGATATAGCCTTGTCATTGGCAAATGGGCAATGTGTTACAACTGGTCACAGTGATGATATGTGTGCAATATGTGGAGATGCTGGAGATCTGCTTCTTTGTGGTGAATGCCCTCAGGCTTTTCACCCAGGTGTGTAATTTCTTTTATTTTAAGCTGTTTTTTTTTTTTTTGGTTTAGATAGGTACTTGATTTATGCTTCATGTTGTAAACATTTGACATTGAGATGCCAATGTCAAATGAATACTTCATGTGACTAGTTCATTTACTACACATTTCATGTGGCTCAGGATTTAAGCTCTAGTGGGTTTATGCATTCATGCCAAATGATTATCTTTGCTGTCTTTCTATGAATTTTTTTTTTCAAATAATAAAATGGTGGATGCACATGTCTGCTTAACTTTTTTTTCATTTTACATCGTAGTTGTAAAAATAGATTCAATATTGTTATCTTTCTGTTGTGCCTGATTTTTCTTTTTTTTTTTTTGGTGTAAGGTTCATTCATCATTAATTGCATTGAATGTCTTTGTTGCAGCTTGTTTGAATTTAGAGCAACTTCCTGAAGGTGAGTGGTGTTGTGCAAATTGTGCAGATGAACATGGTCTTTCTAGAAAAGCTGTTTCGGGAGAAGCTTCAAGTATGATGAGACCAATTGTGATACGCTTGACAAGAGTTGTTAAAGCACCAGAATTTGAAATTGGTGGTTGTGTTCTTTGCGGGTTGGTACCTCTGTATTTCTTTTTTTTTTTTTCTTTGTTCCAGTTTATTCTGTCTCTGAGCATGCCTACAACTTAGAATATGAGCTTGAATGTGTGACTAAATCCCTCCATGGCTCTATCTATATGTTTGTAATTATTTATCCACACGGAGGCATGCTGGAATTGAAACTAGTGGAATTGTTGATAGAGAGGCTTTTTATGAGCTCACTGATTTTTTGTTATGAGATTATTTTTTTTTCAGGTTCCATGACTTTAGTGGCTCTATGTTTGATGATCGAACAGTTATTCTCTGTGACCAAGTATGTGCAGTTTACTTATCCTATTTCCGTCCAAACAAGCATCTGCTTTGCTATAACATTATCTTTTTCTTTTGTCCTTTCTTAGTGTGAGAAGGAGTTTCATGTTGGTTGTCTGCGGGATAGTGGACTCTGTGACTTGAAAGTAAGTCTGAAATGTTCTAGTAGATTAATTGTTAACATATACATGCTAGTTGAAGTTTTTACCAATTTTGTTTCTCCTCCACACAACAGGAAATTCCCAAGGATAAATGGTTCTGTTGTGATGACTGCAACAGGATTCATGGGGCTCTCCAGAGTTCTGTTTCCAGTGGGGTGCAGATAATTCCTACTTCATTCTCAGATATAATCAGAATAAAGCATTTAGAAAAAGGATTATTTATTGATGGAGCCACAGATTGTGTTCAATGGCGAATACTGAGTGGAAAAAGCCGTTTTCCTGAACACCTTCCATTACTTTCAAGTGCAGCTGCAATATTCCGAGTAAGTTTTTCCTGATATGAAACACATCAGATTTCAGTGTGTTAAGCTAGTTGTCAAGTGACTTTTGTAATTTTTATGTACTGTTTTGTCATCTGACCTTTTTGTTAGAACATATGTTACTTTTTACCAAACTTCTTAGTCATGTACTGGGAGTTTGCTGGGCACGGTGCATGTTGACCAAACTTTTTCAAATTGAAATTTTGGGATAAGATCAGTGCCATGAGTGGTTATGACTTTTGAACAATATATAAAAGGAACTTATTCTTGGAGTGAATGCAGATGAGATCACAGACATTTTCAGAAAGACTGCTATTTGTATATGGAACCATCTACATTTCAGCTTATAGTTTTAATTAAAGTAGTTGAAAGTCTTAAGCATACAATCATGACAAGGTTGAGGTACAAAGGAAATTGTTAATCTTAGAGAATATGATCACTCATACCTTTGAATTTTGTGCACATATTATGGACGGCTGATGGATGGTATTAAGATCCTGCTTAACAAAAGAAAAATTGTACTTAGATCAAATTGATGAAAACCCATCCATGCAAAATTGAGAATAGAACTTGAGGTGAAGCCGGATTTAAAAAATAAACTATGTTGGAAATGAATTTGATTACATGCTCAGAAGTATTTGGTTTTTCTATGGGATTTTTGTGAATATACCCAATTATCTACTAGCTGCCTCTAGATAGTTGATTACCCTGCAGATTATTTCAGTCGTATTTAGCAATGGCCTGTCTGCTCAAGTTATTTGCATTTCCTTTTTGACAGGAATGTTTTGATCCCATTGTTGCAAAATCTGGTCGTGATTTGATTCCTGTCATGGTCTATGGGTATGTACTCATTCTTCCCTCGTTCTGCCGTTTAGATGGTTCTAGTGTTTAACTTTCTTTTTTGCCTCTAAAGAAAAAAAAGAATCACTATATGGTTAGAAAAGGTGTTCTCTAGAAAATGTGTTTATCTTTTTGTTGTTAATAGGACATCTTGCTTGATTTGTCAAAAAATTTGCACCTTAATGATATTACTAACGTTGTTAAGACATACTTTACAAGTGGTCAGCTTTTCTCTGATCAGATCTGATGATTACTTTTTGAACTTTTCTTAGGAGAAATATATCTGGACAAGAGTTTGGTGGCATGTACTGTGTGGTTTTGATTGTGAGGTAAGTTGCTTTCTCTCTCTCTCTCTCATGAGATGGGATGGGAGGTGTTCTTGTCTTGTTTTCAGTCGATTACTTTTTTGCTGTATGAATTTATACATGGTGCATATGCACAGGTCTGTTGTTGTATCAGCTGGTCTTCTTAGGATATTTGGTCGGGAGGTTGCCGAGCTCCCTATAGTGGCTACAAGTAGGAAACACCAAGGAAAAGTAAGTGCATTGATAGATTGGACCAAGAATATGCTATGTTCTTGCTATCTACTTTAATGCTCCTCTTTTATTCTGTTTGAAGTTCAATGCAGTTCAATGTTGAACTTTACAAACTTATCACCTTAAAATGCTTTAAGATGGACCATGAACACTGTTATACTCTTGTGCAGTTTGTTGGTTTTGTTCTTAGTCTTCCAATCTGTTTGAAACACAATGGCTTAACCAATGTTGGACCGAGCTAACTTATAACTTTGATTTTGTTATAGGGATATTTCCAGGCATTATTTGCTTGTATTGAGAGGTTGCTAAGTTCCCTGAATGTGGAAAACCTGGTGCTCCCAGCAGCTGAGGAAGCTTTGTCAATTTGGACAAAGAAATTTGGCTTTGCAAAGATGAGTGAACAGCAAGTAAGTGCATTCTAAATCTTTTACTTGACAATAAGTTATTATTTTCATTCAGTTTCTACCAAATACTAGTAAACAAGAGAATTAAGCCATTGTGAATTTTATTTTATGTTCAGTTGCTCAAATACCAAAAGGAGCTCCAATTGACGATTTTTAAAGGAACATCGATGCTGGAGAAAAAGGTGCAGCAGATATCAGAATAACTCCAATCATCTTTCCGGTAACTTTTCATCAGAATAGCCGGACTTGGCATCAGCTTTAGTTTGTGTTGGTGGTCTTTTCCCCCTTTGTAAAAATTGGTGAGAAAAGTTTCCCTTGATTTCAAGTTTTTTCTTCCCCTCCCCCTCCCTCTCCCTCAGCGTCCACCATAATTTGTTCTGTTACTTGTACAAAACTGGAGGTAGCATTTGGTTGGTAGGAAGAATGATTGAATCAAACGAGCATTGCATGCTGAACTTTTTATCATGCATGCATGCAGCAAGAAATTTGGTTTCTTTTTTTTGGGCTATTCTTCTTTTTTGAATATGTAAAATGAAAAAAAAACAAAGATCATTCCAAGTAGGAGAACACGTTTCAATCTTTTCACTAATGTTAGGAGCCTGGGGTGTATAAACTCATGAAGTTTGCAGCTGTGCGCAGTTTTCAACTGTTTCTTATGAATTCTTGGATGATTTTTTGCCATCTATTTTCATTGTTCAATTATTTGACGGCACGAAAAACCCATTGTTTTAACTCTTTGACAACATAAAAAAACCAAAAGCACTGCCCTCCCTCTCTATCCATGGAATGGAAGGGTGGAGGCCTTCGGTGTCCCCTCCAGTCAAGAATTGTGGCCTTATAATTGTTAAGCAAAAAAGTATCCAATCAATCAAGTTAGTAGAAATATAGTTAAAAAATTAATTAATTATATAAAAAATAATAATTTAACGTTATTTGATTTAATTAATTTATGTTTATAGATAAAAAATAAAATTTATTAATTATAAAAATTACATTAAAATATCAAAATAATTATTCATAATTAGTATTTATAAATTTTTTTAATTTTTTTAATTTTATGAAATATTTTTAATCTAAATAAATATATATTTATGTGTATTTATGTATTATATTTATGTGAATTTTTTAAATATTTTTTAGTTCACTTACATATATCATATTTACGTAATTTTTTATAATTTTTTTTAATTTATTCACAAATATTCAAATATCATGTATATATAATACATAAATTTTTGATAATTTTATGGGTGTTTATTTTATAAAATTTTATTATTTTATTATTTTTTTTATACTTAATTTTATAAATATTTTATTTATTTATAAACATACAATTCGTTTATAAATTTTTTTATCAAAAATATTTTTTATAAATTTTTTTATTTATAAAAAAATATTTAATTAACCTCAAATAAATTTATTATGAGATTTAAATAATTATTTCCAATAACAATCATTAGCCATTATATCCTTTTTTTCATTTTTTGCACGCTTCTCTTCGTTTATGGTTCGATATTTTGGTGCAGTAAGTGTAGAGGAACAATAGGTGATTAAACTTTGCTGCAGTGACAAGCCTGTGCGAAAAAATAACTCACGTGAGGAGGATAAAAAGTTTAACGCCTTTTATTATTATTACTTTTCAATCTGAAAATAAAATAAAATAAAAAGGTCGTTTTATTATACTAGTCTCTTATTCTTCCAAAATGCTAAGGATTCTAAGTTTTATTTCCCTAAACCACAAAAAGAAAAAAAAATTTTATTTAATGCTAAGGATTAAATACATTTCAATTTGACTCAAGTTAATTTGTTCTCCTTTTTTGTTGAATAATTGATAAATTTTTTTTAATTTGGTAATTTTAAATATTTTATAATAATACCACATAAAAATTATATTAAAATAATATAATTTAAAGTTTTAATAAAAATTAAAAAATATATTTCATATTTTATATATTTATATAATGATGATATGATAATTTTTATATTTTAGATATATTTAATATATAATAAATACAATATAGATAGACGAATTATCTTGTCTAAATTTTTACTCAATTTTTATTAAAAATGTGTGGGGATTTCTCCAATAATTTATAAATAAACAAATAGGAAAGTATTTTACATACTCTCAAATTTCTTTTTCTTCTAATAATAATAATTATTATTAATCACATACAATATGTAATTATTACTTTACTGGAAACTTGGAAACCCTAAATAGGGTTTTAGGACATCTAAACAGGGTTTTACCCAGCCGTTTATTTCAGCGTTTAAAACCCAAAAACCCCAAACTAGATTTCCATTTCCATTTTTCCCAACAACCGCCGGCTCTATCTTTATTGACTCCGTTCCGATGGCATTCGTTTCCAGATTCCGTCGCGTTTTCACCGGACCTTCCCGTCTTTGTTCTCAGTTCGCTTTGATTCGCTTAAATTCGACTCTCACTTCCCCGAAGCTCTTCATTAGCGGTATTTTCTCATTTCTTTCGTTTATCTTTTTGTTTTTCCTTGGTTCTCATTAAATTTTAAATTGCCAATTTAATATTTTGATTGGGTCAATGAAAAAATAAAATGGAAGAAATCTTATAAAATTAGGAAAAACTGAGGACCAAGATTTAGAAAATTTCTACCTTTTTTCTATTGAATTAAACATAAACCCTAAATTCAGGGTTAATCAAGCTTTAAAGGAATAACTTCAATTATTGTTATGTTGTACGATTTCTAATCAGAAGATGAGTTAGTAAGAGAGAAATCTGAAGAAAAAAGTTTAATCTTTTAGTATAAACCTGGTTGCCTTTCTTACCTATTTAGTTATTCTGCAAAGAATTAAGTATTTCTCCTGTCCTTTTTTTTTTTTTAATTTTGCACTCTGTAATCACATTATTACTTCAGAGGTAGGTAAACTAAGGATTGAGGTAGTGCCTATGGTGTTGTGGTGTTTTGCCATTGTCCCTATAGACCATTGCAACCATGGTTCCAATTTCGTGGCATTCTATGAGTTTTAGTGACCCTGATCCTTGCAATCGAATAGCTGGTTCAGGGTCTTTGATAACATGGGAAGCTAGCATTTGTTGGAATATCAGTTAGGATTAGTTGGATTCAGGTGGTGTTTAGTGAAACCTAGTATGAAATCTGTGGTGTCATTCAGTTTACTGCATTATACCTTAGAATTAATTGGCATTGGATTAGTTGATTAAGGTGGCATCATACGGATCCTGATCAATACTATGTGGTACCATGAAGTTCAATGCTATTATCCATTATGATTGAATGGTGTTAAAATGACAATTTTTTGGGCAAAAGGAAAGGATTTTGTGGACTGTTGATTTCTTTGTCTGCTTAATAGTTGATGTTGTTGTCGAAGTGCCTACTTGGAAGTACGTAATTCTCATGGCTTTGAGTGGTAGCAAAATCTATGTTAACAGTTGTAGGGTAGCATGCGATGAACTATGCTTTCTTTTTGTTTGGTTGTTTTACGGTTACAATAGGGGTTCGATTGAAAAAATTCAAGTAGATCTTGTTGAATGTAGTTGCAATTGTGGGTTAGATGAAGAATGAATATCATTCACAAAAGAGTGGTAGGAAAGCTTTGAGATGTATTTGTGTCCAGATATGCATGTGGTTCGGATGCATATTCTCTCGTAAATTGTTGAAAATGATAGGTTGCAATGTGTATAGAGCAAAAAGGTAAAACTCCTTGTGTCCTCTCATTTTCAGCTTTTCATTTAACCCAAGATCATGTCTAGGTTCAACCTATATCATTCTCTGAAACCCTGAGGTGCCCCTTTGTTTCCTAAAGTAGAAGTGGAGAACCTAGTATAAATAACTAGAGCTGGCATTTGCTTAACCAAGCAACAAGAACTAAGAGAAACAGTATGCCAGGTGCCCACCAGAGTTCCCTTAGGCACTTCAGTTAATTTCCTTAGAGTCAAAACCTCTTTGCCGTTTACTGAAGTGTTTGGGGGAACTCCAGTTGCCATCTGAGACGATTAAAATTAGGATGGCGAGCATATTATCAGTCTGCTATAGGGATTTGTACTTTCAGGGATGAAGCACTGGTTTTATGGTTAAACGGAATTTTGACTCAAGGATGAATTCTATTCTATTACAATCGGTGCATGCTGAAATTTTAGTTAAGAGTCACCCTTTTTTGCGGTGGTGTTCCTATGGAACTAAAGAAATTATGAGACCTTTACATCAGTTTTTTTTTCCTTTTATCATTGTCTTCTGACACATTTTGAATCGTAACTGCCCCTTATCCTGGTGTATTGAACAGGTCTTTCAAGAGAAACAACAGATGAACAGTTTAAAGAGGCATTTAACCCGTTTGGCCGGATTGTTGAAGGTTTAATTTAACACCCCATTTTCCATTCTCCACATTGTCTCTTTCTTCATTGGTCTTTAGAATTCTTTAGATTTATAATAATTCGCCGGAATGCTTCTTCGTATTGCTTTCATCCTGATATATTGCTTTAAATGATCTTGCAGCCAAAGTCATAAGAGATAGAGCCACTGGAAGGTCGAAGGGGTTTGGTTTTGTTACATATACATCCATCGAAGAAGCTGAGAAGGCTAGAGAAGAAATGAATGCCAAGTTCTTGCAAGGATGGGTTATTTTTGTAGACCCTGCCAAACCAAGGGAACCCAGACCTTCACCCAGATCAGAATCGGAGTTTTCTGTAACTGGTTTTAGAACAAACAAAACTGTTGGATGGTCTGGGTAGTTCACTTTAACAAGGCTGGAGCCATGGAGGAATTATTTGAAGGCTTCAAGTTTCATATATTACCTCAAAACTTTAGCAGAAGATAAAAGTTGAATCAATGATTTATTTATTCGGGACGAGTGTAACCGGTTAACCTCTTTATATTAAACACATTTTGTGTGCCTTATTGTACCTGTCAATTTTATTGTGCTCAAGTTCTGTTGATGCTATGAACCATCAACCTTACCATTGGTTTCTAATTATGAAATCCCTTTGATCACTACCACAAACTTTATAAGGATAGTTACTAAACTACCATGTTTGCTAGTTCACAAACTAATAATAACATGCATAAACTCCATTGCATTTCACCGGTCTTCTCATCAAAGTGGAACTAATAATATTCTATTTACAAGCAATCGACAGTTCAGGTGCTGTCTTCCATACAGCAGCATAAACAGCACATTAAGCAAACCGTCAAATCCACACCATCGTCAAAAACCATTGCATCACGCTCTATAAAGTAATTGTTCAAATATCACCAACGGAGAAAGCAGGAAAGAGCTTATTTATCTACAGCTATTGATAAAAACAAGGGCTTTTATCGATGATGAGAAGAGAGATTTACTCATAGAGCCTCCGCCACAGAGTAGTGCATCCTAGTGGGCGACATTTTTAGAAAACTACTGCCACAATGGGGGTCTGGACTGCCAACGTTAAAATCATCAAGATCACCTGAGGTGTTGACTATTCTATCTTCAACCTCCAGTAGTTTATAACACCTATCAGAATTCCCACGGCCTCTGCAAAACTGTTTGCTGTCTTTACGACCAACACTACCACGTGTGGAGTAGCTGCCCTTCTGCCCTTTCTTTCCATTTTTCTTCTTGTCATTGTTCTTCTTCGACTTCTGCTGCTTCTTGCCTCTAACCGTGTGCAATACTGACGTTGGTGGAGGATCGTACACATCAGGGGCCCATGTCACAGTCAGCTTCTTTGGTGACAATCCCTGTTTCTCACGGCTACCTTTAAGGGCAGACACTAGTTTCAAAGGAGTCTGTTAAGGGTAAATGCGAGTAACAATCAAAAGGAGCAATGGACATTGGTAAACTTAACCAACCAAAGGCTTAACTAAAGACTCTACGCAGAAGAAATTAAGTGTAACAAAAACCACTTACAGGCACAGAATCCTCAGAGAATATTCTCTGCAATGCAGTTTCAATTTCATCATCAGGAGAAACACACTTGCCTAAACAATTTTGAGGAAGTTTGCTTTGATGTCCTTGCTTAAGTAACTCTTCCACATCATTTGCATCATCCCATCAGATTCGTTATCATATTCATTCAAACAAGTACCAAGTATAGCCTGCTTTATGTCACTGAGATCATAAACCTCTCGAGAACCCAATATGTCCATTTCCAATACCAATGACTACAAGGACAAACCATCATTGTCACAATTGCAAACTTCCAATTATATATATAAATATCAACAAATAGAGCAGAAGGAAGAAAAACCTCAATCAAATCCCATTAGATTGACAAATAAAAAGTGGAAAGCCTAATCCATCATTAGTGTTTGAAAAGAAAAATACTACTAATAAGCAAATTTCTAAGCAGATATCAGCTGGATACCTTGTTAAGACAGCTGCAATCAATTCAAACCCTTAAAACCTCCGAGAAAAAGCAAAACCCAGTTCACGATCTGACCAACCCTCCGATTTTCTGCACAAAGTTGATTCCTTTGTATCGTACAGTAATAACCTCAGAAAACAGAAGAATCTAGGAAAATGGATAGGAAATGGAGAGAAAATAAAATAAAATCACTAAAAGAAAAACAATTGACGGGAAACGTTAACTAAGATTACCACGCCGATCACTCTTTTCAAGATGTTTCAAACGATGGGAGCAAGAACCGGCGTGAAAAGGAGTCATAGAAGGGATCAAAGGAAGCAAAATCGCTTCGAAGGGTAACGAAGGCATATTATCTATTTATGCTCTTCGAACCCCTAATTTCTACAAGAACAAAAACCCTATTTTTCCTTTTTGGATCGATCGAGATTTAGAAGAGAAACCCTAATACAAAAGATTGCAGGAGGAGATTGGATCAGCGGCGTAATAGAAAGAAAGGCTGGGGAAGAGGGAAGAGATATAGGGAAGAAAGAATCTTGTGAGAGTCGATGGATGTTTGAGGAGTTTAAGATCAAATCAGGAACGTACACGTTTCAATCACGGAATCGTCCTCTGACGCGGATATTTTTGTTTGGGTTGGCTTCAACCCAACTCGATTCGGGATTATTAACTAATAATAATTGTTTAATATTAAAATTATAATTAATTTATTACCAATATTTATATAAAAATTCAGGATAAATAAATTACAAAATTTTAATTCAAGATAAAATATATCATATTTAATAATTTAAAACATATTATTATAAATCATGTTTTTGAGATGATTTAATGATTACCAATAAAAATAAAATAATGACACAAGTCGGTTACAATTGGGCTTAGATTCAAATAGGTTAGGCTTGCGAGTTTAGATGGGCTCAACTAGGCCCATTGACAGTTTTAATACCATTAAAAACTATGCACCGTTGATCTTCATTACTTAGATTTCAATGATGTAAAAAATGACGTGGCTTTCGCTTCACGTGACGGTGGGTTCCACTATTTAAAACATCCGAATATGGTTCCCTGCCAAATCGTTGTCTAATTTTTCATAGATAGAAGAAAAAAATATGCGGCAGTCCCATTGGATCCGTTCTATTTCACGAGGATCGCTAAACAAGTTACTTCTCCACCGTCGATTGAATAACCAATCGAACGGTTCAAAACTTCTCAGTCCGTAAGTCGAATGTCGGCCCTTTTCTCAACTATCCCATATAAAAACCGCACTTCTTTTTCCGGAGAAAGATTCACGCCCAAAATTTTTTTCTCCGTTTGTTTCTCGAGAAAAAATTACAGTGAAATTCATTTTAATTTCCTGTTTTTGAAGTGATGGATGCCGGAGGGAAAGTGAAGAAGGGAGCAGGAGGAAGGAAAGGGGGCGGTCCAAAGAAGAAACCGGTGTCTCGCTCTGTGAAAGCCGGCTTACAGTTTCCTGTTGGTCGAATCGGTCGTTACTTGAAGAAAGGTCGTTACTCTCAGCGTGTGGGGACAGGTGCTCCCGTTTACCTCGCTGCTGTTCTTGAGTACCTTGCTGCTGAGGTAATTTTACCTTATACACTTATTATTTTCCCCTCTTGAACTTATTAGCTTGGTTTTTTTCAGGGTTTTTAAATGAAATTTTGTGGTTTTATGTTAAGTCTTCCCTCTTTTATGTTTGAAATTTGTTATTTTTTGGATTGACTATCTAGGGTTTGGTTGGCTAGTGACAAATTAAAAAAAAAAAAAGAAGGAAAATTTATGCTTGAAGCAAAATTAGTTAACTTTGTATGATTAGCTTGTTAAAACATCTTTCTAGCTTTCCATGGTTGTAAAATGTGGAAAATTTATGCTTCAGATGGTAAAAACAAAGCCAGAGGATAGTAATTAGATCTAGAAAGTACGAATTTGCTTATGATTCTTCAAGAAATGATCGCCATTGGATTTGGGTACTTTTTTTTTTCTTTGAGGTGTGAATTTATGGTGTTAGATGCCCTTAAGTTCGTTGTTTAATTTGGTTTTGTGTTTTCTAAGGTTCTAGAGTTGGCTGGTAATGCTGCAAGAGACAACAAGAAGAACAGGATCATTCCAAGGCATGTTCTTTTGGCTGTGAGGAATGATGAGGAACTTGGGAAGCTATTGGCTGGTGTGACAATTGCTCATGGTGGAGTTTTACCCAACATCAACCCGGTTCTTCTGCCGAAGAAAAATGAGAAGGAGCCGAAGGAACCCAAGTCACCATCCAAGGCTACTAAGTCTCCAAAGAAGACACCTAAGAAGGCTTAGTCTAGTCTTTGCTTCTTGTTTTTCCTGCGTGTAGCTTCCTTTTGTGTACTCTGGCTGTAGAAAAATGTTGATGTTGGTAGTAATTCAGGTCCATTGTAGTTCTAACTGTCTGTCTTGTCTGCAACATGAACATCCTGTTTGGAATGAATGAAATGAAATTTCCATGTTCTGATTCCGCTCTTATGGTTTGTCTGTTTTGTTAAATTATTATCAGGTTGTTTTTGTTCGTGTTCTTTTGCTCTCCTTTACATGGCTGAATTGGCTACATTTATGATGTAATTTTCCCGAGCCACCAAGGATCTTTCCGTCGTTATCTCTTCTATTAGCCGCAATCTGTGTCTTACAGGTTGAATTGTAAGCATTAACTTAAATTCAAATATTATACGATCATATGTGAATATAAAATTTGATCAAATTTAATTATATTATGTATTTATTTAAAAAAAAGTATAAATGATAAACCTAAATAACATCGAAATTTTTTTTTTTTTGCTTTTTTCTTACAAGTGACTTTCAATGGATAAATATAATTAAAACCATAAACCCTTCCCCAACAAAAGTTTACAGATCAAGACTCGCACAATCGTATTATGTAATCATCTCATCAACTTAATAAAATGTGCAAAGTGATCACAATTAATTATTAAATTTATCAATCTATTTTACTAAATTATAAAATTACTAATTAATATAAGCCACTTGCAGAAAAATTCTAACGTGAAGAACAGGATGCATCACAGTTAATCTTATCCACATTCAACGGAAGTGGTGTCCAACTACGCCTCCTGTCAATCTAATTGGTAATCTATCAAATACGGTTGTTAGAATCTATTGCATGCGTGTGAACATGAACATCATTAAGAATCAATCGCCAATTTTGGATTGGATCCATCTCAGAATTTTGTAAATGTTGAAATGATGCAAAAGTGCAAATCTGATCATGTAATATCCGCCGCCTACAAATTTGATTCAAAACAATTTAAAACACTAAAATCCGAAACCGAATATACTTAATTTGATTCAAATCTCAACTAAAAACCAACAAATCTAAGAACTGGTAAACTTGGTGACCGACTTGGTTCCTTCAGAGACGGCGTGTTTCGCCAATTCACCTGCAAAACCAATCTCACGGCCAAAACCAATCTCACGGCCGTCTGAATCTCCCTCGACGTAATCGTCGGCTTCTTCTTATGTCACGGACTTAAGAAAGAGTCCTGAATCCCACATCGAACATAATAGGAGGGTCCTTGGGATATAAAAGAGTTCACATCATCTCCGTCTGCACTTTTTGTAAGATAAAATCGTGAGGTCAGAGAGGTCAAAGCGGATAATAACTCACAAGGGTGTGAACCGTGACGATCAGGCTGATTCGGGACACCTGAAGGGTGAATGTCCAGGTCTCGGAGCCACGCGGGTTCGGAGCTTGAGTCTCGACCCGTAATAAGCGGTATCAAAGTCAGCCCTAAACCGTTTTATCCACGTCAAGCACCTCGAGGGAGGTAGACAGGATGATCAACCTCCGTAACGAGGGCGTCACGAGGTTAGATGAGGGAGAATGTCACAGACCTAAAGAAGAGTCTTGAATCTCACATAGAACATAATAGGAAGAGTCTTGAATCCCATATCGAACATAATAAAAAAGTTTCCGAGGTATAAAAAGATTCACACTATTTTCGTCTTCTGAGACATCTTTTGTAAGATAAAACCGTGAGGTCAGGAAAGCTAAAACGGATAATACCTCACAAGGATGTGAATCGTGACAATCAGATTGATTCGAGACACCGGAAGGATGAATGTTCGAATCCCGAAATCGTACGAATTCAAAACTTGAGTCTCGACCCGTGACACTTATACCTAACCAATCTCTAGAGAAAAGATGGTAAGAAAACTAGAGCTTAGACAGATAGAGAAAAGAGAGGGATCAGGAAAGAGCAAACTAGCAGAGAGATTGGATTGTTTATATAGAGAAGTGAGATGGAATTTGATTGGTTGATTTAGTTTCCCGCGGATCGATGACTTGGCGTTACTTGAGTCCGTAGGATGTTAGGAATCTTGTGGGGAAAGATGTAATAAGTCGAATAAATAATATTATTAAATGAGGAAACTGGACAAGAAATGGGCTTTAGGTTTAAAATGTCAATGGCCCAGCACAATGCATTGAAATTGGGCCAGGCTTGCTTTAACAGGCATGGATGTCTGCAAAACCGACAAGATTCACAGAGTAAACAACACAATTTCAGCGAAAATTCTAACCTGCAAATCATATTCTCCCAACAAGAAACGACCACGTATGGTCACAGGGAAGTCGGGGAGAGAGATGACATTGAATATAGCCAATTCAATAATAAAGCACTTCCAGCATCAGTAGGACACCAATAGGAGACCATGTTATTGCCAAACATTCACAAGCACAAACTGTAACATATTGATGCTTATTGACATTCAACTCATAACCCCCCCCCCCCCCCCAAAAAAAAAAAAAAGACTGCTTGAACAAAATTAGGTCTCATACAAAGAAAAATTCTTCTGTTGTATTTGACATTCATATACCAAATCCATAGAAGAAACCAGATGAATCCTTTGGGCAGCTCAGTGGCGTGCATGATCTCAACCAGAAGCTTCAATCTTTGACTGAATGAGGCATTGACTGATAGCTTTCCCCTTTTGAAACCCAAAAGGCAAATGTAAACTTCCAATCTAGATCCTGTCAATTTCAAAGGGAAAAAAATGAATGATAGAACATTCATTCAATGCAAATCGCGAATAGAAATAGTTCTCCAAGGACCAATACAAGAATCTAAGATGATTTCAGGAGATGATGGCAAAATTTACAACAAAGCACTCAAATGTGAGTAGAAATATGAAGTGGAATCTATATAACCCCAGACATTCTATTCATGTAAAATAATTTTATTTTCCTTAGGCTTTGCTTGATAGGAAAGATGGAAAACTTGTTAACCTAATGGTTAAGATATAAAATAAGAAAGTGGTTATGAATTTTAACCATTAGATTATCAAGTTTTCCATCCTCATCCGTTGCCATCCTTCTAACAAGCAAAGCCTTAATGTGTTACTTTGTGACACTTGCTCCTAGATCTAATCATCTACATTATTTGAGCATATCAACGTACTGTGAGTACAGACATATTTCTAAACCCCAACTAAAATCCAACAAATTGATCTCAAACATCAAGTGCACATTTTAACAAAATAATAAGAATGGATGAGAAAGTTTATCAAAACTTGCTCTTCACATGCACAAGGAAAAGCCAGAAGCAAAAGAACCAAAGCCTTCCAATTTACTGTTAAATTTCAATCCCCCAAAAGAACATACTTCAAAACATCAGAAACAGTATCAAATTTTAGTACAAATACAAAGGCCAATGAAAACGTTATTAATTTTATATGAACCTTGGAGAACCGGCATTGATATTCCTACGAAGAATCCGACCCCCACCCGAATCAGCAACTCCATCAATCAACTCCCTCAATCCCAAATTCGCCACTTTCTCTTCCTCCTCATCTTCCTCCACCCCCTCTTCTTTCTCTTCCTTGACACGTGCAACAAGCTGCTTCCCCTGCAATCTCTCAAAGTAATTCCCGTAAATGTATTCAGGCGTATATCCATTCTCTTCATCAAACAGCATTATATGCCCATGCCACTCCCAAACCCGATACTCCGATCCTTCCTCTTGTTGAAAAGTGATGCAAATATGGTGGTCGTTGATGGTAACGGCTTGACCAGAGTTGGGTTTCAAGGGGTCGATTTTTCCTGAAAGGATGATCCGGATGATTTCTTTTTCCAGCTTGGACTCCTCTTTGGCGAGTTGGGTTTTGCTGCTATCGTCGGAGTCAGAGTCTGACAAACTGGCAGCGTCGAGGAGGAGGTCTTCGAGTGATTGGGTGAGGAAAGGGTTGTTGTTGTTGTTGTTGTTGTTATTGTTTGGGGGACCAATTTGGAGTCTTCCCATTAGGGTTTGTAGCAGGAGGTTGTCGAAGTTGGTGGTGTTGGTGAAGGAGCTCATCGTTTAGGTTTTTTTTTTTTGCACTTTTGATTGAGAAAGAGAGGGATTGGGGTTTTAGAGAAAGAGGGAGACGGTATTGGGTTGTTTGGGGCTGAGAAGGGAAAGGGGTTTGGGGAGATTTATTTAGGAATTGCGATTTCTTTCCTTCGCTGGTAACCGAGGATGGAATTGGGTTTTCGCCGATGGAGGTCAAGTAGGATATTAATGGATATTAATGTCAATGTTTTTTTTCCCCAAATTGAAAATGGTTCACATTAATTGCTTCAAATGGCTAAAATACATACTTAATTTTAACTAAATTTTTATTATGTTCATTTAATTATAAAAACTTATATTTCTAATATTTTAATGGGAAATGATCGAATAAATATCTTTTTATCACCAACTCAATAATATCTAATAGAATATAAACCTTTATTTTATTGTTACATTATTCTCACTTTTCTTACCTCGGCAATATTGAGATAACACGATTTGTCTATATTTTATTATATATTATTATTAATATGATAAATAAAATAATATCATTTTATTAATTAATGCATTTTTAAAAAATTAATTTTATGTAAATTTATTTTAACTATTAATATTTATTTATTAATAAAATAACATCATTTAATTTAAAGATAATATATAAATTTTATACACTCACAATATATTACATATAAACTCATAAAATAATTCACAAAACTGTAAGATACATCAAACAGCAAATAAAAGTGAGCGGCATTATACAACCAAAAAAAAAAAAAAAATTGAGACAACCGGATAAAAAGATTTATAGCCATCATCATTACCGTGAGAATTATCCAAAATTATCGTCATCCTCAAATGCATAAAGATCAAACAGCAAACAACCATTTCACCTAGAAAATGTTACTATAAGACATAAGGACCCAACTAGTTTGTAAAACCAGTGGCTGCACTCTGCAGGGTGCAGTCTGCCCACACAAGGAGATGTTGAATTTCTTGTAACGATGAAGAGGAATTTTAATATGCGGCTACAACATATTCGTATCTATATATATAGTCAGGACGCAATGAACAACTACCGCCTTAAGCTCTCCACAATGTAGTCCGCATATAGATTCCTAAAACAGAACGTTGAAATGAAATTAAAACTCTATTTTGAAGCTATCAAGAGAGTATAATTTAGCAAGGACACAAACAAAAGTTCAAAAGGAACGAATCACAAGTTGGACTTAATGTCCATGCGTACAATAATCTTCATTCAGAAACGAGGGGAAATGCATTATAGTTGCATTATGATCTCCTCAAAATGACTGTCAAATGATGTGGACTGATTCATGAAAATTCATGGCAACCATAAGTGGCATGAGAAAAGAAAGTTTGATATATGTCGCATGTACTTCTCTTGCCAAAGGCACAAAGGTTTAGAGACAGGAAACTATCACTTACATGGAATGCTGGATTGCCTCATAAGCAGTAGAGGCTGGGAGAAAGTCATTGACAGCAACTTCCTTGTTCTCATTCTTTTTGTCTGAAGTATTTATTAAGGCAAATGAAAGTTAACGTGCTTCAGTGAAAGGCACAGTTTGAAATATAGATATCCTTCCATGTAGAAGTTACATAGATCACTTGCTTTTCTACTAAGAATAATTAAACGTTAGTAAGGATACAGTCTTCAAAGAAGCGGCGAATCTCAGCCAAACGGTGAGGTGGAAGCTCCTTGATATCATTGTAGTGACGATATTCAGGATCATCAGCACAGACAGCAATAATCTTGTCATCTTTCTCACCCTGCGTTCATAAATTGCACAGTTTTTCCCATTTGCTTTGAAAAATATATCCAAGAGCCAGGTGTCTTTTAATCAGCGATAATGTGTACCTGATCGATCATAGGCATCAGACCTATAGCTTTAGCACGAAGAAAGCATCCTGGAAGAACTGGTTCCTGTATGTATTCCAAAGTTAACATAAGTATTACCTTTAAAGTTATAGAGCCCTTGGAATATGCGAAAATTTTAAAATAAAAATCATAAGTACTGATTATGGTATTGAAAGGTGTCAGGTCAACATATTGTTTTACTCTATGATTCACTTTATCCATCATTTCAATCACGGAGTGCAAAGTACAAACCAATGTGATACAAAAGAGTTTCAATCATGAAACATGCTATGCAACCGTGAATTAAACTATGATTATTTCAATAAAAATGTGGATCAAACAGCATACCTGCATGATAATCAGGACATCCAATGGATCATTATCTTCACAAAGAGTGCGAGGGATGAAACCATAGTTGTGAGGATACACAACTGATGAGTAAAGCACACGATCAACCTGCAAATTTATGCACCATTCACCAGGAACCAATTAAGAATCTATAAGCTGGGGCAAGTGCACTGTAGACAGAAATAGTAGTAGTAAATAGTAATTACCTTGATCAGACCAGTTTTCTTGTCAAGTTCATACTTCACCTTGCTCCCTTTCCCAATTTCAATCACCTGCACATGATAACCAAGTCTTGAATAAAACACTAATAAAGTAGGAACTCTTGAATGCTTTACCATTTATGAAGACATTACTATCTTTCAATTTTAAAGGAATTGCACAAATGTTAATTCTTCATTCATTTTCTCAAATAAACTTCAATTATCATAAATTAGAAATATGGACGTGTGAAAAGATCAAAAAAGCCATATAAGGAGTGTGTTAGTAGGGATGGCAAATATACCTAAATCTGAGGGTTTCAACTCAATCCAATTTTATAGGATCGGTTTTTTCAATTGGGTTTCAAGTCGGGTTTTAAGTGAACCCGAGCCGACTCAGTATATATATAATATTTTTATTATTTATTTAATTTTATATTCATATATTATATTAATAAAATTATTATTTAATATTTTAATTTAAAATATTTACTTAATAAAAATATTATATTTATGTATAATTAAGATATGATTTATATTAAAAAATAATACTTTATGAATATCATATTAAATTAAAATTATTAAATTATTTCCGGTTGGGTCCATTGTAGTTTTATATATATATATATATATATATATATATATATGTAGGTCGGATACGAAAAAATAAAATTTTATTGTTGAAATCAAATATATATTTTATAAAGCCGGTTCAAAATCAAGACGAGCAAAAAATCGCTCCGATCCGTCCAATTGCCATCACTATGTGTTAGAGACAATCAAATGTGTACATTTTGTAGGAATTTATGAAGCATTTCATCCCATGTCAGACATGCTATGCAAAATGTAAATGCAATAATTTTGAAGAAGTTAAAGTTTAGTATACTTACACAGTTGAAAACCATTGGAGCTCCAGGTCCTATAATAGAAATTAAAATGGTAGAAAAAAGTGGCACGTTATTAGATTTACAACAAACCAACCGGAATAACCCAAAAAGGAACCACACAAAGCTTATGTTGACATTGCATACCGATCTCAAGATCATGCCATGGGTGAGCAGCTACAGACCTCCTGGTCATTGATGAAAGGATCCTTTCATTCAGAGGAGGATGTGAAAAATAGTGATAGTCAGAGGACTTGGATGGAGTCTCGATTGGTGGAGCGATCACTTTGAGTTAAAAACGATGTATCAGTAACTACTTAACAAGCTATTGAATCAAATTTATTGCACAAAAAAATTTCCATACAAATTGGCAAGTTAAAACACAAAATTTTCATTGATCTGTTACGATCATAATGTTTAACCAACTAAATGCTTACAAAACTAAGCAACCAAAATCGCTTTTCAAAGTAGAAAACATAGATCTATAAAATTATTACCACTTAAATCAGCAGAAAATGCTAAAAAAAGGAGAAAATACAGAATCAAAAACAACTAAAATTAATAAATGAGTTCAGTTCAAGAATAAAGTAGATGACTTTTAACCAGAAAACACAAAAAAAAAAGAAAAAAAAACCTACTCTCAGAGAAAATTTAAAGCAAGAAGACAGAGCAAAAACGAGAAGAAACGGAGCTTAAAAGAATCAACGATCTAAATGTTGAAAAAGGGATTTGAAACGCACCTGTAACAGTTTCCATTTCTTATAAAATGAAGCTTTCAAGAAGGGAAAAAACGCACAGATCTCAAAAACAAAAAGAAAGAAAGAGAATAGGGAAAAGAGAGAAAGAAACGAGTACTTAGAAGAAAGAATAAAACCCTATAGGATGCCTAGAGAGGGAGAAAAGAACGCTTTACGGGTTCCCGCTCCCTTTCCTCGTTACCATTTAACGGCAAGCCCCCCCACCGAAGAAAGAAAATAAAAAATTTAAAAATTAAATGTGGAAAAAGGAAAATTCCTTACGTTTGTATGCGTTGAGAATTAAAATATGGAATCGCGGATATTCCGCGAAGGCGAATAAATCGTGGATCCAAGCTGTAATGTCTGAGATTACGCGTCGTCGGGTGATTGGGTAGTTAAGGTGAAGAGGATGATGGGACCCACTGAGGGACAGAGAAGGAGTTCCTAACGGTCGTGCCGTGCTGTTTGGGATTTGGCTTTGGCTCCAGCCCGTGATGGACGGTGAGGAGTCTCTGTTACGTGTTCATTGAATCTTCAAAATGGTTGAATTCGGTGATAATAATTCGTTTGAATTTTTTTAATATCGTGTAATATTATAAATTTTAAAATTTTTGATCAAATCTGAATTAAAATTTTATATGATTTAATTTGAATTGTATCAAATTTTATTTGTTTGAGTTGGTTTATAATTTTAAATTTTTATTTTAATATAAAATTTTAATATATTTGAATATATTAAAATATAAATTTATTTTATTTTATAAAAAAATAATTTAATTTGATTCTTTTTATTTTTTATTTTTAAGTTAAAATTTAATTATAATTTAATATATATTTAATATTTAAATTTATTTAAATCCAAATAAAATTAATTTTAAAAATTTTATTTTTTTTTCTCACCCTTAGGTTTAGAGTTGGTTCCTGATCGCGGCGAATTAGATTAAATTACTTATGTGAGGTGGAAAAAGTGACGCGCAAGCAAAGCATGAATGGTGAAGAAATTTTCAGTCTTACCGCGGTAATATGTGTTGGAGCATTGTAGGAAAAAGCCCATCCGTTACTCAAAGGCTGGCTAGCACATGCGGGTGGGTTGACCGTTGGCTTTCCATAAACCACCAGTCTCCTCACATTCTATCTCCTTACCAATAAGTAATATGATAATGTGCTACTTAACTATATAATCTATATAGTTAATGGAATATGATGAGTAATCTATAAAGTTAATGGAATATGATGAATAATCTACGTAGTTAGTGGAATATGATGAGCATGTTAAAACAATATTGATAAGGAAAGAACATCCGATTACATATTATATTTAAATAATCTCAATGTCATATCACCGACCAGATTTGTTTTACCAATGCTCATGTTTTAAATTGTTTAATATATAATGACTATCACTACCAATATTGTAATTTATTAATAAAATTGGTTATAATAATAAAAAAAATCCTTAAACTTTGTCAATTTATCTAGATAAGTTTTTGTCTTTTATTACTTACAAACTTTTTATTACGTTTAAATAAATCAATTGAATTTTAATTTAGGTTCAATTAAGTTTTTAATTTTTAGTTTGGATTCAAATAAATTATTAATTATTAATTTATATTTAAATAAATCTTTAATATAAAACTAATTTGTTGTTTGAAATAAAAATTAAAATTTTAATACAAATCCAAGAATAAAAATTTATTTTAATACAATAAAAAATATAAAACCTTAATTAAAAAAAGTAAAATAATTCAAGACTTTTTTAATATTTTAATCAATAAAATATTGAACTCTAATTTTAATTATTAAAATTAAAATTTTTGGCAATTTTAAGTTTAAATATATGGAAGGATAATCACCTTTACCTACAATCATAATTCATCATTAGTATTATCTTTAGTATTTGGCTTTTATATTTTTTTGAATTAAAAATTGTCGAATATGAAAACCTAATCATTAAATATAAAATTTTAATATTTTATTAATAAATTGCATGATTATTTACAATATTTTGCTTTTAACAAAGAAAAAAGGAAGACTTGGGAAACCATCAGAGCTGATATCAAATCTCAATCCGTGTATATACTTATACATCTAATGACTCGGTACCAATAAATTCATTGAATAATAGCAAAATATAAGATATTGAGCAATTAGAGATGGTTGGGGTAAATTTTATATTTCTCTTGATTTGATTTTAGAAGTTTAATATTTGAATATAATCTGATATTAAAATATTAATTTATTTATTTAAATTTGATCTGATTTATACATTTAAATTTACAATTGATTTAATTGAAATTAATAAAATATCATTTTTAATATAAAATATTTTTTAATATTATTTTTAAAATATAAATATAAATATATAATTAAATTATATATATATATATATATGATCTAAACTTGAATAGAATTTAATGTTTTTTTTTTAAATACTCCAGTTGACTTGAAACACGATTTAAAAAATAAATTTTATAAAATTAGATCAGATTGAAATCGACGAGTACATGTTGGATTACCAATTTTATGAACAACCGGCGGTCAAATAAAATTACACTTCATTGAGCTACGCCTGAAATTTCTCAGTGGGGTCATTTTTTCAAGGATGAAGCAAGTAGAGAAAATGTCCCTGAAAATTTGTCCGTTTAATCTCTTACCAACCACTTTTCATTAGGGGAATTTGCCAAGCTTTTAAATATTTCTTAATGAAAAAAGATTGTGTTTTGCAGACAATTCTTCATCTTAAATAAATAGACTTGAATTTTTAATTTTATTTTTAAACTTGTTTCATTCAAAATTAAAAAAAAATGTTAAATGATATACATTATTATCTTAAAATCAAGTGCATTATTTTCTTGCTGGATCCCGGCTGTTTTATACCCATATCCAGCGCATCTATCACCGACTAAACGCTGTCGTTTAACTGGCAGGTTAGGGAAAGCCCAGTCGTTTTCTTCAATCAGCTATTTTCTGTCCGTTGGCGAATTAAAAAAAAAAAAAATCATCCGTTAGATCCACACAGATCTAACACCAAATATTATCCAACGGTTCGGAGTGCATTCCAATAACTTATTTCTTGAATATACTTTTTCCTCTTCTCCCTTTTCTCCTCCAAAAAAATCCCTTTTTTTTTCAACGGCCGACCGGTGCTGACGTACCAGAGACGCTTCCTTTTTCATTTCTCTCATTTCCTTTCACCAGATCTTATCTTCCATTTCCATGGCTGCTCCACCTGCAAGAGCTCGAGCCGATTACGATTACCTCATAAAGCTCCTTTTGATCGGCGACAGCGGTAACTATTTCTTTTCTCTCTCTCTCTCTCTATATATATATATATATATATGCATGTATGTATATATATATATATATATCTTAATTTGAAATGCGATCTATTCGTTAATCTACATAGTTTTTTTGGAAATGTTAGGGTTCTTTAAAAGGATATGGTTATTTTTTTTCTAAATATAGAAAACCTAGATGTGAGACCGTGATGTGTGCATTTCAAAATCATTGCCTTAGATTAAGCTTCATTTTAGCTTTGCAGATTATCTTAATACGGATATTTTATTGCGTTAAGCGAGGTTGATTCGAAATAGAATGTCTGTGTCAGTGATTTTATGGTGAATATATGCTAAAGGCATTTTTGTCTTGTATTTTAGGCTGTATTTGTTAATGTAGCTCTTTGCCATGGGAAATGTCAAAGAGTCGTAGCATGTGATTTGCATGAGGGAACCCCTTCTTAATACAAGGGATAGGCTGGTACAGATAGTTTGTACACATGTGGTTACATGTAATTAGGAAATAATACTTAATATCGTAGTGATTTTAAATGAGTTTTTCTTGTTATTCTGCACTCTCTTTTGAATTTGAGTTCTGAATAGCTCTGTTTACTTATACTATTGTTCTGTTGGGCAGGTGTGGGAAAGAGTTGCCTCCTTTTGCGTTTTTCAGATGGCTCATTTACTACAAGTTTTATCACGACAATTGGGTAAGTGTTTTTGTAATCACAGTACGATGGTCTCTTTTTTTTTTTTTTTCGTTTCTACGAAGTGCATGTGGTTTAATAAGGTTGTGTTTACTTTGGCAGAATTGACTTTAAGATAAGGACTATAGAGCTTGATGGGAAAAGGATCAAACTGCAAATTTGGGATACTGCTGGGCAAGAGCGGTTTCGAACAATCACAACTGGTTAGTTTTGGGTTTTGAAGGTGTCACTGACTAGAATTGTAACTTATATGGTTGTTAAAATAATTTGATAGCATGACTTGGACATTGTTTTATTTGAACTGTTAATTGCAAGTTACCATTTATTCTGACAAATATTTTCAAATTTATTAACATCTCTGATTCAATGTTGTTGCTTTGCCAATCTCTCTCTTTGGTTTTTTCGTCTGTTAGGAAGTTTGGAGTTTGTGTACTTCCTGGGTTTGTCTATGACACACTTTCCTACCTACCTAGTGTTATATTCTTGAATTGTATGACAAGACTTGGAAGTAAAATTACAAATAACAGATGGTTAGGATTGAAATTCTTTCAGTTTTATAGATGTTTAGCCTCTTATATTTTTGGGATTCATGTCAGTTAGTGTTTAGATTAAAGGTGTTTGCTATTAGTATTATCTCTGTGGGTGGTTGAAAATTTTACTTTAACGTAGTCTTTTTCTTTTTTTCCACCCCCAAATATGGTTGCTCTCTCTCTCTCTCTCTTACTACTTGTCTTGTTTTACCCTTTTGGGGCAGGCAGGGGGGGGGGGGGGTTCACTTTATTTTAGTTGCTCCAGATGTCACTAAGTAATTTTCTTTTTGTGCAGCTTACTACCGTGGAGCTATGGGTATTTTGCTTGTGTATGATGTGACTGATGAGTCGTCTTTCAATAGTAATTACTGAACTTTTATCATTTGAATTTTGGATTTTTATTGATATGCTCTTCAATCTTATCTACCTTTGAATCTTTAGAATTGTTTCAAATGTCTCCCCCAAATTTTGCTTGTTATTGGAATCTTTCAATTTCCTGCAATGTTGAAACTTGATAGTATACTTCTTATCCAGTGATTTGAAATTTTATTCTTTCTCCATTATAATCATCTTTATCAACTGAACTATTTTCCCTTTTTGCTTAGACATTAGAAATTGGATTCGTAATATTGAACAGCATGCATCAGACAATGTCAACAAGATTCTGGTGGGTAATAAGGCTGACATGGATGAAAGCAAAAGGGTCTGTTTCTCTTTCTCTCTCTTCCATGTGCACACAGGTGCTTGTTTTTGCATGCATTTATGGTAACCTTCTGTATGCCATATTTCACTGGATATTTTTCTTGTCAAGTTGACCTGGAACTTATTTTTTAGGCTGTCCCTACCTCAAAGGGCCAAGCCCTTGCTGATGAATATGGCATCAAGTTCTTTGAGACCGTATGTAATTTTTTCTGCAGATTTTGTAGTTACTTTTGATGTTTAGTTGATCTTGCCTATATGTTCAAGAGCCACTTTATCTCGCAGAGCGCAAAAACGAACTTAAATGTTGAGGAGGTTTTCTTTTCAATAGCTAGGGACATTAAGCAAAGACTTGCAGATACTGACTCGAGGGCTGAGGTATGGTTTCTTTAATTCGAATGCAAATCCATTTCTTTAACATATGAAATACATATATTGTTGTCATTTTATTGTTATTGTTTTTCTTCCTTGTTGCAGTCTCAGACAATCAAAATTAACCAACCAGACCAGGCAGGAGGTGCTGCGGCAACTGCTCAAAAATCAGCTTGCTGTGGTTCTTGAACAAACTATGTTGAGGATGAGATCTGAAGAGTGAAGGGTCATTCTCCTCTCTAGGGAACTGTTTTGGTTCGGGAAAACTAATTTTGCTACAACTATAAATGTTCGTGTTTGTATTCTCCTGCCTATCATTATTTCATATCTGCTACTCTTTGCTATCAATGTTAGATCCTCGGTATTTTGCAAAATTAATTATTTAGATTATTTTTCGTAAATAACATGTGTGTTTGAAAGTAAATATGTCAACCATTTTGATATTTGGAGTTGAAATTTAGAACTCCCCTAGTAACTGTCTGTCTATCTTGAGACTATAGATTTGATACATAGTCGGATTCTCTTACTACTTTGTTAATGCATCAAGGAATCATCAGATAATGTTTTTTATTTCCCCGTCATGAGCAACACTAGTTTGTTTACAAAGAAGCATTTTTCTGACATCATTATTCTAGCATTGGAATGAGTAGTTTCGTGTATAATCTTTTATAGAACTGCAGGCGTGCTACACTTCTGCCATGTTTTGGTTTTTGAGATTTCTCTTTGGTTCCTTTACGACCACGGAGATATAGCAATTTAAAATACGATATGAATACAATTAGAATAAAAAACATAAAAGTAATATAATTTAAAATTTTAATAATAATTATATATATGTATAACAAAATTAAAAAAAAATATATATTTTCATATTGATATATTGATATAAATTATGATATGTAATTTTTATGTAAAATATTATATAAATATATAAATTTTAATATTTTATATAATATAATATATGAATCGATTTAAAATTTTAATAATAATTATATAGGTATAATAAAATTAAAAAATATATTTGATATTTTCGTATTGTTATAAAGTATGATATATAATTTTTATGTAAAATATTATATAAATATATAAATTTTAATATTTTATATAATATAAATATATGAATCGATTTAAAATTTTAATAATAATTATATATGTATAATAAAATTAAAAAATATATTTGATATTTTCGTATTGTTATAAAGTATGATATATAATTTTTATGTAAAATATTATATAAATATATAAATTTTAATATTTTGTATAAAATAAATACAAGAATCGACATGCACTAATCATCATGTCAACTCACATGTAAATTTCATTCAACAAAACCACTCACTGGATAATCAGGATACAGGTTCTCCACCTGTTAGGCCCACATTTCATTTAGAACATAAATAAAGCATAAGGAAACAAACTATGCAAGTGGTAGGGAAAGCCCTTAAAGGGAGGGGGGTAGGGGCATTAAGTTAACATCGATCCCCACCCTAACCCGGCCCCCCTAGCCCTTTTAAGGCTTTTTATCATTGACAGGTCTTCCCTTCCTCTGAAGAGTTCAACAAAGCAAGTGAACTATAATGCTCAAGAAAGAAAGAAATCTGAAGGAGATTTTCATGTTGGAACAAAAGGAAAAAAGAAAAGAAAAAAGAAGAAAATCTGAATCATCTCCTCCAATAATGGCCACAAAAAAAAAATCATCTTCTCCAATGATAGAGTTTGATTTCATGTAACATGATGCAATTTCGTCCAATTCACTCTCTTTTCGATTAGTGGAATATGCACCAGCAAAAATGGCTCAGCTCGGACTCATCAATGGGCTACAAAAAAACACCTGAAGCAGAAAAAGCAAGTGTCTTGGACCCTGGCCTGACTTTTGCCTTTCTCCACCAAATCTCCAAATATAAAAGATAAAAAATACTGTTCATCTGAGAATGGTTGTCTATACGAACTCGGTTGGGGAATCTCTTTATTTCAGATTCTTATGTTATATTCGTAGAGAATGCAGATCAGTCACGAAACACTCTTTAAACAGAAAATTACAAAAGCAACTCCACAAAGTTCATTGACTCCTCAACCATGCAAAGGCACAAAGATTGATGTAAAAATGGCACTGACGTTTACAACAAAATTAAAGGAAACACCCAATAATTCTGCTAACATTAATGTTTTTTCTAAAATATGGTAAGAATATCTCTAATTTTTGCTTCAATTTAAACTTTTTTTTTTACGATTTTAAGAATACATTTTTTTCACATCAATTTCATATATTTAAGATTTTAATATCGAATATTAATAACTTTTACTAGGTAAGCTGCACGATTCACAATAGCCTCATATTACTTATATTTTTTATCGATAAAAGTAACCTTGGTTAAATTTTTTTCTTATATTCATGCACGCATCACTATTGTTAGGAGCATTTTAGTGTCTAAAGGCAAAATGTACTTTTCTTTTTTTAGTATAAATCAGCTAACAAAGGAAGGTATTTTGATTATTTTGGACAAGTTAACTATTCAAATTGATTTGAAATTTCGAAATTCATATTAGTTTGATCACTTTAACAACCTACAAATTAGTACCTTAATTTAGATTCCATTTGAATGAGTGGTGAAATTGATTACGATGAGATTGAAAATAAAAATAAAACTTACTATAACTACGGTTGAAAAAAAACTATTATAGCTATGATTGAAAAAAAATTTTCAATGAAAAATTTATGCTGAATAAATTTCACTAAAGTTAACATTTATATTCAACTGATGGTGCAATGAGTTCAGTTGTACCCTACCAAAGATGTGGTGAAATTCAAATGAATACTAATTATACTTTGAATAAACAGTTAACTGTTAGCTCAATTTAGACTTATAAAATCAACCCTAAATTCCATACATTAATCTTGGGCAGCTTATGCCCAAAACTCTCATCACATGGATATAAATAGCACTATCCAGATATACTTAATCCATCCGGAATTTTTAAGCTTTTAAGCCTTTGTTCTATTCATTTTTTTTTTTTCTTAGATCGAATTCTAACTTAAGAGTTAAAGTATAAATCTTAAGACCATGCTCAATCTTTATTTTTAATCGCTCTCTTCTCTCTTATGTATATTTAGGAATTTATCCTTCTCAATCAGCTCGGCACAAACAACTATATTTTATGATTGATAAATAATTGAACAGAAATCGACATGAGTGATGGGGTGTCAAAAGTTTGATAGAATATGTTATTAAATGGATCAACCTCCGAATATAAATAGAAAGTAACAGACACCTGAAATTCATCATCAGTGCATTAGTGATTAGCTTTGCTGTTTTATAAGTTCAGAGAGCTGAATCGAGAGTGCATTCATTGTTCTTTTAAGAGATATGGAGAACCAAGGACATGGTTCTTTAGGTAAGTTTAAGCCATTCTTTGCTGCCCTTTTCTTGCAAGCTGGGTTTGCAGGAATGGATATCTTGTCTAAGGCTGCACTAAACCAGGGTATGAGCAATTATGCACTCGTTGTCTACCGCCATGCCATTGCCACTGTCATCATGGCTCCTTTCGCAGCCATTCTCGACAAGTATCTCCTCCCTCCCTCTCTACTAAAAAACCATGAAAGCAAATCACTTGCTTGTAACAATGTAATCATTTTCAGCAGAGAAAAACTGACATGGAAGTTGAAAATTTTCTTTTGACAGGAAAGTAAGGCCTAAGATGACAATGCCAATCTTCATCAAGATAATGGTGCTCAGCCTACTGGAGTAATTATCCCAAATTAAAGCACAAGTTCTCATCTTTTAAACATTATACAATAACATCTGATAATGATTTTATTTATGCAATTCTGTCAGGCCAGTCATTGACCAAAACTTGTATTACGTCGGGATGAAGTACACCACGGCTACGTTTGCAGCTGCCATGTATAACATTCTTCCTGCCATTACCTTTATAATGGCTTGGATTTTAAGGTAAACAATCAAAATAAAACCACTTTCGTTAACCGAAATCTGATAAAATCTGAAATAACAGAGAATCAGGAAGCAAAAGCTGCTAGCTCTGAAGCGAAAGCTTTGCTAGAAGCTGGATCGTATAACTATAATCTTCAGCATAAAGATGGAGAAACTGTATTATTCTAATAATGGCAGCTGACTAAAAGTTTGATCATGTCCCTCCAGGCTTGAGAAGGTAAATGTAAGATCGATCCGCAGTCATGGTAAGGTTATTGGAACCCTTGCAACAGTTGCAGGAGCCATGGTCATGACACTGATGAAAGGGCCAGTGCTTGAATTATTTTGGACGAAAGGAAGAATTAACCATCACGCTGCAGCAAAAAATGGGACAGATTTCCATGATACGATTAAAGGCGGTCTAATGATCACAGTTGGTTGCTTCAGCTATGCTTGTTTCGTGATTCTGCAAGTAAGTAGATAGAAAATTTTTGCTGCAACAATTCTGAATGGATTTGCTTAACCATGACATTAACCTCTGTGTGTGTGTGTGTGTGTGTAGGCAGTGACGCTGGAAGCATACCCTGCCGAGCTTTCTCTCACAGTTTGGATCTGCCTGTTGGGCACGTTTGAAGGTACCATAGCGGCTTTGATAATGGAAAAGGGAAATGGTGCCATATGGGCTATTAAATGGGACACCAAGTTACTAACAGCTGCATACAGTGTAAGAATACTTACCAGTTACCAACCAATACACTTCTGAAATGTTTATAGATTTCCTATATATTAAGAACACAAAAAAATTGCATTTGAGCATTTAAGTCAATGACAATGATCCCCCTTTCAAAGATTAGAGTTTGAATCTCCCTTTCCCAAATAAGCAAAAATTATGAAAAAAGCATTACCAAACTCAACCCCCGGCTTGATTATGATCATTTTTACCTATGTTTCTGAGTCCTGAAATTATAGAACTGATTCAGTTTATGGATATCCTCTCCTTAAGGTTTTGAATTATCCCGAACAATAGATTTTAATCTTGTATCTGCAAAATGCATGGTTTCAGGGTATTGTATGTTCAGGACTTGCTTATTACATGCAAGGGGTGATAATGAAAGACAGAGGTCCGGTGTTTGTTACAGCTTTTAGTCCCCTATGCATGGTTATTGTAGCCATCGTGGCCTCTTTCATTCTAGCTGAACAAATGTACCTGGGAAGGTATCGCATACTCTCCAAACTCATATCCAATTCTCAAACATATTGAAAAAAAAGAAAAAAAAAAACTGATCTCATATTCTACAGGGTGATTGGAGCTATCATCATAATTGTGGGTCTATATTTTGTGCTATGGGGTAAAGGCAAGGATTACAAGTCTCCACCCCCATTAATGGAGCAGCAAATAGAACCAGATAAAACTGGTAGGGCTAACAATGAAAATGACAGTTCTGATCATCAGGCCATCACAATTGATGCTGCCAGCAGAGAAACCTCAATCGGAGATGAAAAAGAACAAGAGAAAAGCAATTCAATTTCGGTCTAAGAGTTACCCTTCTCCTAAAGGGAACCGATTCCTCCTTAACCGCCCTCCCCCCTCTCCCTAGTGGATAAATATGATCCAGCATTTGTAATCATTAAGCTTAATGGAGTCTTTTTTTTTTTAATAATTTTTTTCTCAAAATAATCATTATAAATTGATAACATGATGCATATGAAGGCAGATTCACTATACCAATGCTGTGGGGTAAGGCCAAGGGTCCTTCCTTTGCCCCTTTGGTTTGCGGTCGAGAAAATGTGGGTATCGAACCCTGGAAGATGGCTAAGTTAGTGGTGCTGTCACCATTAATAAGCACAAAGTCTCGTCAAAAAGATCACTTGCACAAAACAGAGATGACCCTACCTTACAAATGAACATGGTTGTTTTATGACGTTTGTTTCCCTTCATCCTTCCCATATATACGCTGAAGTTCACGAGTGGCACCTGAAAAGGAAAGAGGAACACATGTAGGAAACATTTTTTTGTCAGTAAAGAGTACTTGTTAAAAAAGCATATCCTTTTAATATCCTCATCAGTGTACGATAGATAATGTTGGAGCATTCACATCTACAGCAAATCACTAAAAGTTAGGCTCAATAAAAAGAAAAGCTACTGAAATTCAATGATTTACATAACCTACCTTTCTAAAGCCGGAAGAACTTGTAATTGTCATAATATATAAATTCATAAATTTATAATTAAATTTAATAAAATAGATAAAGTCATCATTAATTTTTTTTAATTAGGTATGATTGATCACCTTATGAATTTATCTTTTTAAGAAGCTCTTAAGCTTGATTAAGAGTCTCTAAAAGAATAGGTTCGGATCTACAAACCAAAATAGGATTCTAAAATTTGATTACATGTGAAGAAGGTTATAGCACCCCATATACCCATCTGAAAGATGGTACCATATTATTTTAAATTCATCATAGGGTCTTGGTTCTAATGGTTTTAAAAATTTAATGTTAAATATTGAAAATAATTCTTAAGATTCTTCATCGATATGATAAAATTCTTAAAAAATATTTTCTCACCTTAAGAGTATTCAAAGATCTCATTTGTTTCCTTGAAGAGGCATTGTCTTCGAAAAAATGTTTATTTATTATTTATTTGTCGAAAATATATCTAATTATTCCACAATTTGGGCCAAATTAAAATCTTTTTTTGAATTTCTAGATTTTTCACCATTTACGTCTACTTAAAAATTCTTTTTTTATTTTTTTTTATTTTTTTAGAAAGAAAATAATATGACAATTATTTTTATTGAAATTTCATTTTAAATTATTCCACAATATGAGATAAATTTAAAGAAAATTTCTGACCTAAAGATTTCTTAGAAATTTACTATTTGAAATTTCTAAGAATCTCATCATTGGATAATTATCAAATATTTTCAACCCAAATTTTTATTTGAAAAATAATACAATTACTTATATTGAAACTTTATCTAAATTATTTCACAATTTAAGATAAATTTAGATAAAATTTCTCACATAGAGATTTCTTAAGAATTTACCATTTGAAATTTTTAAGAATCTCATCCTTGGATAATTTGTATTTAATTCCAAATTTTTTATATTTTTTATATTTTTTGTTTGAAAATAAATGTTAATTATTGTTATTGAAACTTTATCTAAATTATTTCATAATTTGAGATAAATTTACTCACCTAAGAATTTTATAAAAATTTATCATTTGAAATTTTTATAAATTTCATCATTGGATAATTAATATTTATTCTCAAATTTTATTTTTTTATTTTTTTAATTTTTTTTTAAATTTAATCATGCAAAAAAAAACTAAAAAAAAAAACATAAATAAAATACTAAATAAAAAAATCAAAAAAATAGAAATAGTTCAGTTGAAGCGACTAAATCGGCTCAGCTGTAAGCATAAAAGACGGCTTAAAGTGTGGCTTGAAAAAAATCGACTCAGTTCGACTTAGCGACAGGATTTGGCTGGGACATGGGTTGGTGAATTGGGGTGCGCTTGGGTCGAGTCACCTGAATGAAAAACAAGAGAATCCTGGGTCTTCTTAAACGCCAAAACGACATCATTTTGGCAAGGCTATAAAAGGCTAATTTCAAGCTTTCTGCCTCAAATCTCCCTTTCTTTTCTCTTCCTTCTCTTTAACTTGGTTGAATCTCCAATTAAATATCAATCGGATTCTAAAAATTATAGCCAAAATCTGGGTTGGTTTGTCGGACGATCACTAAAAAATTCAAACTTCGCCAAAATCTTCACCAGATTCTGAAAACCCTCGTCGAAAAATTCAATTGATGTCGAAAACTTAACCAAAAAATTCAACTGGCACCGAAAAATTTACAAAAAAATAGAAAATTACATCGAAATCTGAAAATTTTTCAGATTTTTCCAAAAAAATTACTTTTTTTTCCTAAACCCAAAAATCTTCAAAAACCTTTCTGATTGCTTTTTGCTTGTGGTTTTTTATTTCTGTTTCTGTGTGTTTTCTTTTTGTTTTCTCTCTACTTTGTGTGTGATCTTTTCTGTGCTCTCTCATGTGTTGTGTTCAAGGCTGCATTTATAGAACCAGATCAGAAGAGTTTTTGATCAATTAGGAATCCCTCTTCAATTGGGTTTTCATATTATCAAAAAACTTAGGAATTATCCTGGAGAGATTGAAACCAAATGTAATTCTGCCAGTGCCTATGCACTACAGAATTTGTAATTTTCCCTTTTTTTACTAATATCCTATTATCTTAAAATAAAATAAAATAAATAATAATAATAAAGAAAATAAAAACAAGAATAAAAATAAAATAAAATAACAAAAAGTTGGGCCTATCTACTTGGACCCCATTGAAATGGGTCCAATGGGCTTAGGCTTAAACCCTATTGAACTAGGCTCAATGGGCTTGAGCCCAGATCAATTAGGGTATCTACAGCTGCCCCTCTTTGCGCATTTTCTATGCAACAAGAATTGTGCAAAGACGTAGACACCCTACACATGATCATCTTAACACATTTATTTATTTATTTATTTTAAAAGTAAACAAAGCTCCTCTAAATAGATGCTCAACGACTTTGAAAAAATAAATGCTCCTCTAAACAGAGGCAACACAACTTTAAAAAATAAATTGCTCATTTAAATATAAGCACCGCAACTTTGAAAAATAAATTGCTCCTTTAGACAGAGGCACCGCAAGTTTGAAAAAATAAATTGCTCCTCTAAAGAGAGGCACCACAACTTTGAAAAATAAATTGCTCCTCTAAACAGCGGCACCAAAACTTTGAAAAAATAAATTGCTCCTCTAAATAGAGGCATCACAATTTTAAAAAATAAATTGCTCATCGACAATCATGTCTAGAGGAGTCATAGATCAGACCTGATGAAATTCGTAATGGAAACTCAAAGATTCACAATTTGAGTTTGAAATTCAAAGATTCAGATTCGTAAGAACCTTTCAGCTTCGTAATAATTCACTGAAATTTGATTCTCAAAATTTCAGTTTCATTCAAATTTGCAAGATCTTAAGATTCGCATTTGTAAATTGCAAGACTCGCATCAACATTTAAAGATTCTCACTCGAATTTTGAAGGTTCTTATCCAAAAGTTCAAAGCTTCTCATTCAAGTCCAAAGGCTCACATCTGACAAATTTTAGGGTTTCACACCTCAAAGATTTTCATTTGAAACTCAAAACTCAAATATTCTTATTTGAAACCTCAAAGATTCTCGTTTGAAGATTCACAATCTTGTCTTAAAAGACTTTATCCAAAGATTCAAAATTTCTTTTCTAGATGACTTTCAAACTCTTACTAAAGTCTAAATTTTGCATGTAATGAATGTCATGATTAATGATGCAAATGCTTTCTTAATGATGTAAATGCAACAATCTAGCTCCTCATAATACTACAAATGTCATATTTTTAACCATAAGTCAAATGCTTACTACATAATGTAAATGCATATCCAAACCAGAGTTTTAAATATTTTTCAAAAAATAATACTAACGTAATGCATGTAATGTGGATATCAAAGTCATGAAATTCTAATAAAAATATGGTAATATGGTCTTCAAGGCTTCACCATCTCATGTTTTCTCCTTGTTTGGCTTTTCAACACTTTGGAACAAGTTTCATCAACTGATCACCATTATTTTCATCACTTGATTACCATTCATAGGCTTCTTAGCACTAACAATTCCAGAACAAGTTTCATCCATTCCCCCATATCATTTAATCACAAATCATAGGCTCCTAAATATTAGTAATTTTAGCATAAATTTCATCCATTGACCCATACTATTTTTACCATAATCACAAGCTTTTCAGCACTAGCTAGTTTATAATAAATTATGTCTTTTGATCCACATTATATTCATCACTTGATCATCATTGACAGGCTATGTTGATCAATTCATCCTCATTACTTGGTCATATCATCTTTTCAAAATTTGCCCTCTTTTCATTTTGTTGGTCAATCCATCATTATATTCATCATTTGGTCACACCATGTGCCTTCTCAAATCATCTTTTTTTTTAGGTTTCTACCATCTTTTTTTTTGTCATTTTAGATTTCTTTTGAAAAGACTGCAAGGCTCTTTTATGCATATTGTCATCCGTTTATCATCATTTCAAATCATGATAAATATAATGCATTCATACATTTTCTTAATTTATTCTGTGTATGCAGCAATAAGAGAATACAAGATGAATTAAAAAAAAGATAATCAATGAGGAACGAGTTTGGTACAAAAATAAATGAAAAAAGAAACAAGTTGGATGCATTTTATTGGGATAAATGAAACAAATGGAGTAACAATATCTAAACAATGAATATTCAAATAATTCTGAACATTAATCCAAGATTCTCTTTCAAAAACTCATACCATTGACTTTTTAAAATCACATTGAGCTTATTAACTTTACCTGAACTTTGAGGGATCATCAAATATCTTTAACCTTTTATACAGGTAAATTGTTATCTAACTCTCATTTCAGATATTTTTTACCTAAATCACCTTTTCGAGTTTTCAATTTAAGTCTTTCATTTCTCTCATTGTCATATTTTTTATTTTTTTTATTTTTTTTTACTCTTTTTTTTTCTTTCATTCTTTCATCCATTATTGATATCTCTTTCACATTAATCTCTAGAGCAACAAAGCACGATTTTATTGTTCCATTACGAGCATGCCTTAGTCTAACATATGA